CTTTTTAAAATACCAATGTTTTGCCGATATAGGCGTTAAATCGATATGTCGCGATATATCGATTTATAGCCCAGTCCTAGTGCTGACACAATTAAAGTGTCCCAGGTCCATAAGTTGGCAAATTATTCTAATCATTAACATATAATGAATTTTTTTATGAATGGAACTATAACTTTTTTAATTTTTGAATTCAGATTGAACATAATTTACGATAATTAGTTTTATCTAATCGATTTCATTCTGAAGTTACTGAAATTGTAGCTCAGGAGAAATTCTTCCAAAAGTAGTGCATTGAAAGAGGAGAATAAAACAAATTACTTTTTTTAAATTTTACACTATTTAGAAATTGGATTTTGGAAACAAGAACTTTTTCAAATTTTATTTCATGCCTTACCGAGAATATTTATCCATAAAATCCCATGCCCAAATTAAACTTTCACAAGCACTAAAATTTTTTTGAATGCTTATAAATTAAAACATTTGAAATGTACTTATCATTTGTTGTAAAACAATTGGAATTAACAACATTATGCGTGCATGAACGCTTTTATTTTAATTGCAAATCAATCGCATTATGTGTTATTAACAGTCTTTAAACAAGTAAAAAAATTAATTTCAAATTATAAAAAAAATGATCCGATATTGTCGAATTTCATTTAAGATTTGAAGCAGGTGTTAACAATGTCGCTCTCTCGTTTGCTTTCACACAGCATTTTCTACTTTTAAATTTACTACTTTTTTATGGGCTGCAATTGGGTAAAAATTTTCTTTTAAACAAAAACAAGCAAGGCTGGGAACTTAAAAAAAGAATATACTTTGTTTCATAATTTTTTGTTTACATAATTAAATTCAGTAATATTACTCTCGTATCTAATATAATAATCGTTGTTCTTTTCTGTCACCTCTCTGGCAACGTCCCATCCAACATCTTAAGAGACCTTATTCAAAAAAGTTTCATGACATTTGTGAGTTTGCTTGTTTACTTTCTTTTAAGTTACATATTTCTATGGTAAATGTAACATTTTCTGCCATGATTTAAAACTTGGGTCTTAGAATGAAAAATAAAAAGCTACTGTTTCATGACTTTTTGATGTTTTATCTCATAGGTTGGGGAGGAATCGTATTCATGACTTTATGTTGTGCGATTTCAATGTACTCCGGAGTTTGTTTAGCCCGCTGCCGCATCATTCTAGAAGAACGCTATGAAGAATTCCGAGAGAAAATCAGAAAACCATATCCTGCTATCGCGCAACAAGCATATGGGACAAAAATGAAGTACATTCCCCAATATAATTCTTTCGCGTATATTTCAGGTCATTAATATGTTCTACACTAATCTTTCGCGTATATTTTGAGGCATTAATGTGTTTTAAACGACTCTTTCGCGTATATTTTAAGGCATTAATATGTTCTACACGATTCTTTAACGTTTATTTTAAGGCATTAATATGTTCTACACTAATCTTTCGCTTATATTTTAAGGATTAATATGTACTACACGATTCCTTCGCGTATATTTTGAGGCATAAATATGCACATAAAATCAAACCGTCTAATTTTTAAGTTTGCTTAATGTTTCATTCCCCTTAAGGATCTGTTTAACACATTACCGAAATTTCTGAACGCATTTATGATAAATGACTTTATTACCTAGGCTGCAAATGTTTCGTAGGAATAATTCGGATAGTTGTTTTTATTTCTGTTGCCTAATCGTTTAAAATCTTATTATCCATACTGTTACGTGGATTTCTTTTTTCGTGGATTTTTAAAGTCAAAATTTTGACCGGAAAAAAATCCACATTTTTTTTAAATAGCTGTAGTTTTTGAAATTTTTCAAGAAACTTACATTACATTATAAAGAATACGGTTAAAATACCGTGTATAAGAAATTAAAGTTATACATTGAGCACAGAAATTTACAAAAATTATAAGAGCATTGACGTAATAAAATTTATAAAGTTCAATCGAAAGAAAGTTTGCAGAGCATATTTGCCATTTCGGTACAACTAGATAACGCATTAGTAGATATGTAGTGCGTTCCCAGCTTTGATACCACGAATCTATTAAAACAGATTTCGAACATTAATTTGGCAAGATCTAACGACAGATAACTGCATGAAGAAATGTTCTGAAGGCATATGCAGTCTACTTCGGGCTGTTATGCCAATGATAATCATACATTGAGCCATTCCAAATAAACATAAAAGAACACAAGTGAAAAAAAAAATTTTTCTGACATAAATTAGGTAACTTAGTATTTCGTCGTAATCAAGCTTTTTCAATTACTTGGAATAACCATTTCAGGGCATTTAAAACACTACCTGAATTTGATTTGAAAGCGAAATGTTAGTTATTAATTTTAAAACAAAGCTTGTTAACAGTGCGTTTTGTACTAGTACCTATTTAGTCCTGTAATATATGTTTTTTTTTCTTCGTAGAAATGAAACAGGTTAATTACAAGTGAAATTTTTCAATTTTTATAGATAAAAGAACATCACATTGCATTATTCTCCAGACAAATAAAGTACATTTCCTGTGCAATTTTTTTTTGTATGCTAAACTAAATGAGACAAACCTTTAGTCTCGTGGATAATTAGCTTAGAATTTATAAAGGTTTTATTCAAAAAAGGCATTTTTGGTATAAAAAACTATTTTATTATTTGAAATATTAGTTTTAATGAATCGTGTTTTGTTTCATTCGATTCAGAATAAGGAAAAAATACAAAGAAATGCTTTATTTGCCTACATAATAAATGAGAAGAAATATTAATAACGTAAATAAGTACAAGTTAAAAGTAATCCTTTTTAGTCACAAAAATTCTTGCAACTTCCGCACTACTTGTTCTATTAATTCGTGCCTGGTATCATTCGACTTTTGCCAAAAAAGCAAACTAAAAAATATTCTTTATGTATAATACCTTTCTATTTTGTCATAACAATAGTTTAATCGTTATGTAATTGATATTTTAAGTAAATACGATGATCCTGAAAGTATGCAGAATTGTATTTTTAAAATTTTCCTCCTAGGTATTTTGTATCAATTTGCGTCGAGATTAATTTTATCGGAGTCTCAGTTGTGTATCTTCTGCTTCCAGCAGAATTGATTGCTAAACTTTTGGATGACAAAATACCATTTTGTGGTTTAATACTAATCTTAGCAGCTGTATTATGTCCCATGATGTGGTTTGGAACGCCAAAAGACTTTAAGTATGAGTTCACTGTTAAAAATTCATAATAGCGAATAACATTCATAATTAAGTTTTAGTGATTTAGATTCGGTGTTAGTTTTAAAAAAAAATCATTACCAAACTTCAAAAAACTATGTGAAAACATTTATATCTGTAGCACATAGTTGGTGTGACCCCTTCTGGTATAAATGCAATGTTGTAAACGTGTCACCAAAATTTCTTCTATAGTTATAAGCCGCAACTCATATACCACAATTCACTGCAAGAAATATTATTTTTAGATATGTCTAAATTAGGTTTAATACAAACCATTTTTTCTAAAAGGGACCAAAAACGGAAAAAAAATCTATTAGGTTCAATTGGGTACTTCTATCTCGAGAAGAAATGAAATGATTGCTCCTAAACCATGCTATTTAAATGGATACCTGTATGAGACGTCACGTGTGTGGGGCGAATCTGATTGCCTTTTGAATTGATAATGCTATGATTTACCTACGATGACGTCACTTGCAGGTATCCAATTCAGATGGTCTTCTCGTAATGTAGTCTTTATAAATAAAATAGGCTTTACAAAGTCTCACGATTTATAGTGGTTCCGTCTCTAAGTTACATTCAGATTACGCCAAATGCGTCTTAAGGTTACGCCAAAACTCACTCCCCCCATGCTAGTTTAAGATCTGACCTCACGCTGGTTTCAGATTTGTTTGTATTAGAGACCCTGAATTAGACCAGGCCGACTTATCATCTATTTTTGCAGCAAAGAGCTAACATAAGCACAATACTAACATAACGTTAATTTGCGAGCTTGTTTGCTCCAATATTGCTTGATATGTCAGCTCTGATAGTATAGGAGCCTTAGTTTGTATGGTACAAAGCGATTGTTAACGGAAAGATGCAATTGGATTTACTCTTGTTTGTTGGAGTTTTTAAAAACCAATAAAAAAAATTATAAGAAAGGCGAGGAATTCGATTCAAGTAACATCTTGGGTAGTATTATGGTGGATAAAGTTTCTATAGTTTGAGTCCAATAGCTTTTTCTTTCGTGACAAAAATGTGAACAAATAAATTATAAAATATCTCTTGCAATATGCAAAAAATTAACATTTTAATACCTATGTAACAATTAAAGAACTAAAATTTTTTTAAAAAGTTTAATCAAAATAATTTCTTTAATTAATATATGTATATATCATTATGATACTTGGATCTCAGTAGGGGAGAGTGGGGTCAATTGTAACAGGGTACGATTGTAACAGAGCAAATATTTCGAGTGTCGGGTTCTAGATTCGGNTTTTTATATATATATATATATATATGTTACGGACGGAGAGTGTCGATGAAGCTTCAAAGCAGTCTAGGGTTGCGTTTAAAGCTTTTATTATGACAAAAAACACTTAAATGACAATACAAAATAATTAGAGCTGGAACATCTTCACGAGCTCTGTCCCCGTAGCCGTTCCGTGAGCGAGTGTTGAGGGTGTCTGCTTAACTACAGGTGGCGCTGCATGGCGTGCGTATGCAACATATATATCATTATGATACTTGGATCTCAGTACTTAAAATCAATAAAGTTTCGTGATTTATTTGAAATTATATGGGTCACAATTGAGCATCTCTGAAAACTACCAGAATGAGACAAAGAAAAAGTTTTTATCATATTAAGAATATATGATTAAAACTTTTCTATATTACATTATTTCTATATGACTATATGAAACTGTCCTATATGACATTTTCTGCGACACGAAAACTTCGAAAAGAAAGTAAATTTAACTTCCTCAAATTGTTAATAATTAATAAGAACTTCAAACCAAAAATAACTTGAAGACGTAATAAAAGTACATTTAGAGATGAAGGTGAAAGTAAAACACTTCCACAAACAGCCATAGTTCTTGGCTAAAACGGTTATTGGGATAGGTTTTCATCAATTAAGTACACACCATTAAGCACAGAATTATGGAGGACAATTTGATTCTTATCGCGCAACGACTGCCTTTAGAACAAAGAACCAGGCAAAATACTAGAAATATAGATAACATTTCTCAAATCAGTATCCGATAGGACATATTTCACATGGATATCACATTCTTACCACATTTATATATAGTGATTTCTTTCTATTTTTAATGTACTTTTTAATTTCATTCAAGATTTGTAGCAGTCATAGCTTTTGTTACTACAATTGGAGCAATCATATTTTTGTTTGTTGCGATGGGACAGCATGCTGCCAAAGAAAGTTTGAAGCCAACTCACAATCCTCCAACATTTATGTCCTTTTTCTTGTCTATTGGAGTAATATTATTTGCATTTGGGGGAACAGCTACCTTTCCAACATTTCAAAATGATATGATAAACAAGAAAGAGTTCCCTGCTGTTATGGTTGTGAGCTTCGGCGGTAAGTAAATAGAATTAGTAATAGTACTTGCAAACTATATGCTTTCTTTTTATCTCGGATTCTATGAAATTTTAATAACGGTTAATATAAATAGATCAACTAGGGGTCATGAAAGAAATAGTGCAAAGGTTTTTGCAGCTAATTTCCTATTAAAAATAAAAATTGTCATTTTAAAGTGTGTAATTGCACAAGGCAAAATACTAAATATGAGCGAAATCGATCGAATAGTTCATGAGAAATCGAATTTTAAACAAGTCGTATATTTAAAATTCGATTTTTCAGTAACTATTCAACCGATTTCGCTCAAATTCTGTATTTTGCCATGTAAAATTACATACTTTAAAAATTGATGTAAAAAACTGTATACCTTACGATTTAAAATTTTTTCCGACCATTATTTAATAGATGATAAAAAATAATAAATATTTACTAAAATTAATTTTTTTTTATATAAAATTATCTTTAGATAAACAAATTTTATAATTGTATGCAAAAACTGTTCAATTTGCATAAAAAGAACTCGCGAGATGGCGAAATACACAAAAAGTTAAATTAACATTAAGGGGTCCAAACTTGGATCACTTTCTTGACCGAACTATGAGGGACGATATTTTCCAGATTGAAGCTACCCCTTACATTTTTAGAACAGAAATCCGAATCCGTCCAAAAAAAGCGATATTTATTCAGAGAAAGTACGTTTTCGTGTCCGATTTCGTAGCTTAAAATATCTTCTGCAGTAATTAGCATATTGGAGGTCACTCCTTTGAACCGTTAAGGTAGAGTCCTGAAACGCGAAGATCCTATCATTAGATCAAAAGTTATTCAGGGTGGTCCATTTTTTTTTGAACCACTGTATGTTATTTTTAATAAAATATGAATAGTTACTTCAACGCTACATTACAATGTAGCGTTGAAGTAACTATTCATATTTTATATCTGAGCTTATGAAAATTTGGAAAAAATTAGAATTATTTTTGATTTTGAAAACTTTTATCTAGGTGAGAAAAAATTGCGTAATTCGTAAAGCAATTGCAGAGCTTTGAAAAACACTTTGAGCTAGTTGTAAGGTTTACTGATAAAAAAGAAAGTAAATTTTCAATGTACTTATTTATTTTTCAGCTGTATATTTAGTGTATTCTCCTGTTGCACTGTTAGGCTACTATCTCTATGGTGACGATGTATCTATTGATATAACCGATACGATCCCTCCATCTATATTCAAATCATTGATTTTGATTTTATTGACCATTCGGACTATCTTTGCTTTTGTAATGATAATTAATGCTTCGAGCCAAGAATTTGAATCAATCTTCAAGGTGCCAGACAGTAAGTGGATTTCTTAAAACAATTTATCAACTTTATAAACGACCCAGTCTATAAAGCATCCAGTGAGCTTAAATAAAAATTTAGTTATACAGGGTGTCCCGAAACGACAGCATAGTTTACGAGTAGATCCATAGTTTACGAGAAAAATGCGAAAAACAAAGTATGACGTCACTGCCGGTGCAAGAAAAAAACACTTGATTGGACATACCCACGGCGTGCTCAAGCCTGCCTCGACATGCACGGCGGACACTTTGAACATCTGCTTTAAATTGTGCATAGTATACTGCTGTTGATATGTTCAATAAAGTGTTTTTTTCTTGCACCGGCAGTGACGTCATACTTTGTTTTTCGTATTTTTCTCGTAAACTATGGATCGTACAGGAGCGCTTCCTTGGACAGTTTTTATGTACTCCCAACGAGGAATCCAGCTGTGCAGAGTTTATGCGGTCGTTTTGGGATACTCTGTATAGTTGTACGTATATGAAGGATATATTCCCACTTCATATTACTAAAAGAGATAAAGGAACGATTAAAAGTCTATAACAGATTTCCTAAAATTTTTTAACACAGACTTTGTAAAGTTTATACATAAAGACCTAAGTTTAAAAGCAAGGTGTTTCACAACCATTGCCCTTGTAAAATGCAGAATTGCATTTTACAAGGGCAATGGTTGTGAAACACCTTGCTTTTAAACTTAGGTCTTTATGTATAAACTTTACAAAGTCTGTGTTAAAAAATCTCAAAGTCTGTGTTAGGCTCATATTTTAACAAACTTTGTGTAAAATGCAGAATTGAATTTTAAAAAAAAAGGCAAATTTAATACAAATGATTGACATGATATAATTTGAGCCTTGAAAAAAAAAAACGATGTTAACATTTGGCGAATTTAAATTGAGGAAGATGGAGTTAAAAGGCAGGGATCGTCTAGCTGGGCCTATGTCCAAGAGGTCGTGAGGTTGATATCCGCCGGCCGAAGACTCTCTATGAACAAAATGTTGACTGGTGATCGCTAAACGTGTCGGGGTTGTTGAGTTCCCATAACAAATCAATGCCTCTGGGGGTACTGGATAAGAGATTGCGCACGCTCTGGTTCAGGTCAAAACTACGATTTGCGGATGGATGGTGTGTGAATGTGCCCTTCCTCTAAAACAGGCTGTGACGTATGTGTTCGACAGAAGTTGAATTCTTATCCATAGATGGCGCCTCTGCCTTAAAATAGGTTTGTCAGTATTCACAAGTAGCATAAGATGGAATTAAGAACGAGAAAACATGTTCGATTGCTTGGGAAAAAGTAGAGTGGTTAAAAGGTGCCTAGTTAAAACGGCAATCAAACAGGTTATGAATTTTTCATAAACACCTCCATCAACAGTGACCCTTAACGTGTAGGAGTTTTTTTTGCAAGATTTCTAAAACTATTATACAGGGTTATTCATATTTCCCTCCGCCTGTGAACGCCATTTTTCTTTACTACAACTGACTTCAGTAGTACATGTTACTGCCATCTACCGGCAACTGCTTAAATTAAAACTTGAAGACTTTCGGAATAATTTCATATGTTCTTTTTTGCCATATTCGTCTTCGTTTTTTTACTATAACGCTTCGAAACTCCGGAGGGAATTATGAATAACCCTATACATTAAGGGCAATGATTACAGTAACCCTGTATAATAAATCTATGTGAATATTTAGGAACAAGCAATTTAAATGTTTTTTGTTTGTTATAGGATTTGGTTGGAAGCGAATTGCAGTCCGAGTGTCGTTACTTCTTTTTGTGCTATTTATAGCAGTATCGATTCCTCGTTTTGGTAAAGTACTGACTGTAGTAGGTGCATCAGTCATTACTTTAACTACATCTGTATTTCCTTTCATGTTCTATTACAAACTGTGCTCCCAAAGCAATTCTTCTTGGCCAGATAGGTAAATAAGTATTTACATATGTAAATATTTAATGTAACCCATAATATTGGGAAATGTAACGGTCTAGTTGTTACTAATCCTTCACTCCCTAATACAAATTAAATCTATACCGAGGGTTGGTGAGCTCTGCCGAAATCATAATGGTCTTCTCTTCGTTTATCAAATGCATAAACAAATAAAGTAATTGTACTAAAAAGGCTACTCAAAGAGGATTGGACGTTTTACGATAGGATCATTTTTAAATTTTGATTAACAAATACATTCAGAAAAAAAGAGAAAATTAATTTAAGAACAAATTAATGTTTACAGCCACATATTTTAGCACTGTTACATTGTAACTAGTAATACAGTGAATTCGCGATAACTCGAATCTGATGGGACTGACGAAAAACTTCGACCTATCGGAAGTTCGACTTACCGTTAGTTTCGGTTTTGGACTTTCAAAATATTGTTGGATTATTTAATTAATGCTTATTAATTGCAAATCTTCTACTTGCTTACAATATTTAAGATCATTTTTCTGACAAGCCATTTCGATAAGACTGTTTGAAGCACTTTCTGACATCCTGGTCCATCGGCTGCAACTTTGCTGTTGTGTTTGGCGGGAGAAACTGCAAGTTTACTGCTTTCACATTAAGTAGATCACAATGCGCTGTGCATTTATCCATAAAGAGTATCACTTTTTTTCTTTTTAGCGAAGAATTTCTGATCCAATTTTCTTACATAGTCTTCAAATAAAACTGATGTCATCCAAAACTTTTTGTTAGACTTGTAATCCAAAGGATATGTTTTTACATTCTTGAAAGATCGGGGATTTCGGTATTTTCCGATAACAAGTAAGGGCAATTTCTCTGTTCAAGACGCATTTCCTCCAACTAGGACAGTCAAACTTTCCTTGCTCATTTTCATGGTCTTATTTGGAAGACATTTAAAAATTAAACTCATTTCATCAATATTGAAAACATCATTTTAACTGTATCCTTGAAATAAATTTGGTAACGTTTCNTAAATATTAACTTTCAAACGGAAATAAAAGCTAATCATTAAAGTAAGCTATGCAAAAGAATTTAACAAAGGATAACTAATAAAAAATAAGCTAACAATTAATAATTAGCAATAAAACTGATTAACAAGAAATCACCAAAAAATAATAATAAATGTAAAAACTAGCAGTTAATAACAATAGAAAACAAGCTAGCAAATTAATAACTAGCAAAAAATAAATAAATACCTGAACTAATAAAAAATTAGTCGAAAGAGATAATTAATCCCTTAATAAACGTGCTTTTGTAGTACATATTATTTTATTTCACATTCAAAATTACTATCACAAAATAATTAACACAGTGTATTATAGGTAAGTAAACAACTTTTAAATTAATTTTTTTCATTGTGTGCCGTCAAATTTCAAAATCGTTAAAAGTGTGCCGCCGCAAAAAAAAAGTTGAGAATCACTGGCATAGACAAATAAAGTAATTGTTCTAAAATGGCTACTCAAAGAGGATTGGACGTTTTACGATAAGGATCATTTTTAAATTTTGATTAACAAATACATTTAGAGAAAAAAGAGAAAATTAATTTAAGCACAAATTAATGTTTACAGCCACGCATTTCAGGACTGTTACATTTCATTATAATTAGTAATAATTATTTACAACCTCAAAATTTTAAAAAATAAATTAAAGCAGTTTGAGAAATTTTTTTAGAAGAGTGAGTGCAAGCAAAAACTATTGTTATTATAAAGTTTTGTGTAGTTAAACTTTTTTTTCTATTAATCTAATTTAACTTTTTGAATTAAAAAAAATTTTACAAATGAAAATAGTAAACAGTCAGTTTGTGGTACATTAATAAAAAAAAAAAAAAAAAAACAATTTAAAATTATTAAAAATATTTTGTCAAGTCCATTGCAATTTAATTGGTAAACTGTAATTTGTTTTTTGCGTCCAAAAATAATAGCACATTTTCAATGACTAAGAATAACAATCACTTAACTTTCCCAAACTATTACTTCTTATTAAGAAAAGAAGCAACAATATGAAGTACCTTTTAATAGATATACAAATTTTTGCGTTTTCTTAAATTACATATTTTTGAGCGAAAAATAGAAAAACTTAATATACTGGTTAAAATAGTTCTAAAGACATTACAATTTCGAAAAATTCAATCCAGTTAAATAAATTCTAATAAGAACAAATTTACTAGGAAAATATTCAAGATCTTTCATTTAATATTTTTAGCACAAAAAATTATATAATTTAACAAAATGCCAAAATTTTTATCTCATATTATTAACATTTTTTCAATCATTAAAAAATTAAACTACCATTAAAATTTTTTGCGTCACTACCTTGGATTCTAAGATTGTGAATAAAAATTTGCTCAATTGTGAAGATATGGCTGAAAAAACACAACACTATAATAATATCACTGAAAAAGATTAGGGTATATATACTGATGGGGATGTAAAACTATCTTGAAAAACATTTATTAAAAACTTTGTGTACACTGAAAATTTGTAAAATAGAAATAAAGGGAGAGCAATTCACTATCAAATTGAATACTAAATAATCTATTTTTTAAATGTTTTTGATGAAATCCTAACAATATTTTATCATAGAATGCTAGTGCATATTTTTTAATATTTTGTTGAACAGAACCATAAAAAGAAAAATGTTATAATTTTGCTTTAATGTTGCAATTTTTTTGTATTTAATATATTTTTACTTCAGATTAATACTGTAAAAGCTTAATGCAACAAGTGGGACATAGTACAAGGAGTCTGATACCACGATAGGTATTCAAATCACTGTCAAAAACTGTTTATTTACTACAGTGAAGAACCGACTATCTTAAACAATCGGGACCATAGCTATTCTGGATAACTGATTTTTCCGGTTTTCCGCTACAAAACGCTTTTTTTTAATTGTTTATAAAACCCAACTAAAAAAAAATTATTTAGAAACAGTCTTAAAAAGAAAAAACGATAAAGTAATACATATAAGTTTAATAAGATAAAAAAGTAAAGAAATAAAAAGTATATACAGGCTTAATATAAAATGAACAAAAAAAGTAAAAGGAGGGAAAAAAAGTATCAGCAGTTTTTTTTTAAAAAAAAAACTCATCCATTCTGTTGACAGAAATTTGGTTTTTGTTGCTGAATCTTACGGATTGACATAATGTGAGATTCGTCTACAAACATATTTTGCTGGTTTCAATATAGAAAAAGAATCATTTCAATTTTAGATAAAATTAAGTTATTTTTGGGAGACAATTTTTTTCCCTCCATACAGAGGTATTTTGCTATTTTTAAGAATTTTTGACAACTTACAATATTAAAATCAAATTTAATGTCATCAACAATGTCAAAAGTTATTGAATTCCATTTTTTCCTACTTACATATTGCGGAAATTCCACGTATAGTCTACTCTATATGTGCAAAATAGTTGCTTAAAATTGGAGAAAGAGAGGTGAATGTTTCTTTTTATAGGTTTTAACATTAAATATGTGTATTTGTATATAACGAAAAGTTGGCTACAATGATAACTCTGCCTGCTATACTGAATTCTTGTTGTTATTATAATGGATTTTATAGTTACATTTAATATTTTTAGAAACAAACTTTTAGTGTACAAAATATGCAATAATAAATAAAAGAAATTTTAGATTCAATTTGGTACTAGATATTATAGGTTGTGTCTTTACAGAAAGCTTCCAGTGTACAAAAAAGTGATTTTATTTCTCATCATGGTTTTCGGTGTCATTGGAGGAAGCATTGCAACATATCTTGCAGCGGCTGAGATAGTAAGAGACAGCGGTTTGAGTCCCCCCTGTTATATCAACACGTCGATTTCGGCTAGAGCTAAAATATTCCAGAGTTTGAATGTATTACAAAACATGGAGTATTATGTATAACAATTTGCTTCTAATTAAAAATGACAACCAATTAATTATTTATGTTTTCTGGTTTTGTTATAAGTTTTATCAATACATAGGAAAATATAATCAAATGTAAAGTGTGTGGAATAAAAAATGGAAAATCAGAATCTTTTTTGCTAATTTTCAAATACCAGGATTTCTATTAATAGTTCCAGAGCTGGATCTTAAATGTGTGAATTAATCAGCGCAGATGATAATTTAAGCTACTGAATCATACACAAAAATATGTACATATCTTTTCCCTGACAGTTTCGAATTTTTGACCTTCAATTTATGAATGAGTACAATTTAGAAAAAATGGTCTGAATAGTTTAGGAAAGAGAACAGACAAAAGTTTGGATCATTTAATCTATCTTTTGATATTATATACTTTGAAATCATGAAAAATTTATATATCTAACAACTCAAAATTTATATACCAATTTATATACCTAACAGTTTTTGGACTATTATTTAAAAAAATTAATAAAAGTAAATTATTATAAAAATAATTTCAGAATCTTCTTCCGATAAAAAAAAATTATATTATGTACAATAAGGGTTGGATTCTCTTAGAAAGTTTTTGACTCAAAATACATTATGTATGAAATTAACATTAAGGATTCTAAATTTCAACAAATCTCCTGCCTACAATATATTGCCGATTGCAACGTCTCCTTCCCCCTTATATGAAGCTCAAAAATTAAATCTGTTGAAAAAAAAGCACGTTAATTAAGGGAAATTACGTTTTTTTCTGCCTGATTTTGTAACTAACTTAAAACATTGTTTGCACTAATTAATTTATATATTTAAGGTTAGGACCTCGAATCATTGCAATCATAAATTGACACATTCTAGTTAGAGCGCAATTATATAATCTGCAAATACAGTCATCAATGGGGACAAGCAGCGAAGGGATTCAAATAATTCAAGAACACGCAATTTTAAAAACAGAAGAAAAAAAAGTGTTTCCGAATAATGAATTTGTAAAGAATATTTCAATTTTAAGAACTGATACATGCCTGGGTTATCCGATTACCAGTATATCAAATAATTGAATACAAACTAAAAAATAATAAAAGTTGGCCAATTTCAGACTGATTCATGCTTTATTTAATAAATTAATTGCATCAATTTACACTTTAACCATTTGCATCTTTCAATACAGAACGCACTCTAGTGAATCCAGGAGAGCAACTATATGAAAACAGTTCATCATTTACATCCATTTCATCATCAGTGTGGTCCTAAAAAAAATATAAATACACATGTACTTTCGTTTTTTAGAAAAAAAGTAAAAATATATAGCAGATAAAACAAGTTAAAGAGAAAAAAGAATAATTACTTCTAAATCTTCCTCTTTGTGCGAATGGTTGTAGATTCTAAAATGTGGTTCAATCCATTGTTTTGACCTAAGAAAAAAGAAAAAAAAATTTAGATGAGGTAATTCTTCAAATGATACAAATAATGACAACCAAATCAATATAAATAATAACCCCTTTTAAATTATTTCTAAGCTTGGTTTATAAATTTTAAGATGACACATAAAAAAATTAATGCATTGGCATTGATGTGGTTAATAAATTTGTTTAATCTTCTTCCTTGCTTAATTTTTTTTACATTTCCTTTTATAAATAAAACTAGGAAATATTTACAATATAACACAACTGCTGCAAGAGTATGAAAATTAGCAGATTCTTATGCACAAATCGGTTAATAGAAAAACGGTTATGAGTTGAACCAAAAATTTAGAAATTATTTCATAAAAAGGCTAAAGAGAAAATAAAACACAGAACTTAATTTGAAAACTTAGAGAAGAAAAAAAAAACAAAAAACAATAAGTTTAAAACAATTTTTCATTCATTAAAGGGAGAAGAAATATCACAATTATATTTTTGAAAATAAAGTAAATGTAATGTTGATAATTATTATTGTTTCATAATCACATATAACAAAAACGATCCACTTCTATAACATAGCCGCTAACATTTCAATCTAGTAAAAATCAGAGAGATTTTTATGCTTATTAATTAGGCATTGCCAAATAAGAATTTAAATTATTTTTTTTTAATAAGAATGTTAAAATTTCTAAACATATTTTTACCTTTAACATTCGGAATATTCTTACATATTATTAATGCAATTTTAGGAAGTTCAGGATTGCAAATATGTAAATAAGAGACTTACAAAAATTAAGAGGGGCATTTCGTCCACTTGCGGAGCACTTTTTAAACTTCAGCGAAATAATTAAATAGCACAATAAAACTACACTTATTCATAAAAATGTTTTCAATATATTTATTTACTAATATAAAACATTCAGAGAAGAAGCACATTTGAACAAAACTGCTAAAAAATGCATGAAATGAAAAATTATAGTTAGAAAACCAGGGTAACTACATTTAAAATAGATAAAAATCAGGTCCTTAATAAATAACATTTTCCCTGTTACATCCATAAATTACATAATTGAAAGTGAAGTGAAGTTTTTTAAGGTATATCCATATATGTATATATTGCCCATGTAGATTTTTTAGTATAGAAATTTCTGAGGTTGAAAATACAGTTTAATGGCCCAAACACTATAAAAAATACTCATTTTCTGCTATATTTTTTTTTATACATTTGATTTTTAGGGTCTGGATAGAACACACCTGAATCTAGAAATATATCAGCATTTAGTTTCTTGTATGCCAAAAGCAAGTTTTACCTTTTGCTAAAAAAAAAAAAGATATGAAAAAAAATTACCAAAAGATTATTTTTTATTTTTATCTAAAAGCTTACTTTGAAGCAGAAATTGCAAAACCTTCAGTAACTGTTTATTATTTTAGTTAAAGATAGAAAAAATACTTTTCGGATTGCAAACATGTCCCCCATTTTGCTTCGTTGCCAAGATTGGGAGAGTAGCAAGAAGAAAATAATGTTTGTTACATTAAAAATGATCGTTTCAGAATCTGAATATTTTTCCTTTCTTTTCAATCTTTTCCTTCTTTCTCATTTTCTTTTAATAAAAATGATACATTTATTATTATTTTTCATGCAAAATGTAAAAATATTTTGAAGAAATGTATCGAAATTTGAGGAGCAAATGACGAATTCCACAGATTGGATGGAGTTTCAACATTTTACGGTAACCCTATAAGTTTTTTTTTATTTTTATAGAAAATGTACTAATATGTAAAAGTCTACCAGAGAATTTAATAATTACCAGGAGTTTGAGAAATAAATCATGGAATTGTAACGTAACAGTTTTATAGTATGACTTAAAATATAGTTTAAATTTTTCCTTTCAATTACAAATTTAAACTTCATTAAAAAAATAGTAAGAATAGGGAGAAAAATATATTTCCCGGCAGCTTAATGACACAAAAATTAATGTCTACCTCAAAAAATAGAGAAAAATAAATAAGAAAGAAAAGAAATTGTAAGTAAATGAAAAAATTAGTATATGGTATTAATTCAATTAAAAACTGCAATTATTAACGGATGAGAAATAGTAACAATTAGTAGCAATATAAATTGGCTGCAACAAATTTTGACCAAATTATACAAGTCATATAATTTTCAGGATTTTAATCCAAAAATAAAAGAAACACTGACAACCCAGCATTATTAAAGAATTATAAACTTAATTACTATTAAAATAGCACTGTTTATGACTACAGGGAATCTGTTCCATTTTAGATTATCAAAACCATGACTTTTCATGACTAATTCAAAGAATTTTTCACGACTTAAGAAAGTTACTATTTTCTCCAACAAAAACAACAATAAATTTAAAAAAGCATTATATAACATTAATTGAAATGATAGGTATAATCAAAACTGTTATACTCTGCATCTTCATACTTATAGATTTTAAATTTAAAGAACAGAGTAAAGAAAGAATTGAAGCAATAAAATAGCTGAAAAAAAATACAAAAGCAAATTTTTTTTCTTCTGCAGAATTATATTCTAAAGACACCTTTCTTGTTCACCGGAAAGAAAAGAAATACTCCTGATTTTTCTGCTCTCATTTCGGAATAAAAAAAATTCGCCAATGACTGACTTGCTTCAGCTTAAATTTTAAACTGATAAAAAAAAAAAAAATGAAATTACAGCAGGTTAAAAGATAATTTGCTCTAGAAATGATGTTTCTTTCATTTTATTGTAAGAACACCATACCTGCCAATATTGTAATTTGCATGACCTTACTATTCAGAACTAGTGTTTTACTCGATGTTACGTAGAAAGTGTTATTAGAGGACATTTTTATGCAAAATTAAGAATAATCTGCTACTAAATTTAGAAAACCTTTGAAAATACACTATTAAATTTTGTATATACATATTTTTAAAAAAAATTTAATTTTGAAAACAATAACAGAAAACCAATTTTTAAATCTTGACTAACTATCTTATTATACAATAATACGACACCAAGATTGTGCATCTATATTCAGGACCACAAGCAGAGATACCTTGACTTAGCTGGCTTTTATGTCGAAGCAAGACAACTATAGGATCAAGTTGCGCATCTGCTCCCATCAGTAGCTACAGCATACATTTGCTTTTGAAGAGATTCAACAATTGAAGCATTTTTAACATCTATTTTTGACACAATAGCAGTAGTATTTGTTCGTCCTGCACCATATCTTTCGAACTGTAAATAAATATGCAATCATATGATTTCAGTGCTTGGCCCGTATGATTGGGTAAAATACCAAACACTGTGCGGCGAAACAGTACAAGTTAACAGGTATGGAACACCAGGATTTTTAAAGAACATGCTAAAAACATTTCATATTTTAATAAAATATGACTGTGAGTGGGGGTTTCATTACAAATTCAGATGTTCGGAACACCATGCAAGGGGGGGGGATTTCATTCAAAATGAGATTTCTCAGCAACACCTATATCCCCCCCCCCCAAAAAAAAAAAAANCCCCCCCCCAAAAAAAAAAATATTTAAATCACGACAAATTTTGTTCAATACTGAAATTCATGATTTTTCATTACTTTCCAGGTGTGCGGATACCCTGTAACTAGTACCAACACAAGTTGGCTGGCATTTGGATTCAACACTTGGTTTATTTAGTGACAAGGTAGCTTAAATCATTAGAGGTTAACAAATCAATAATTTTTCAATAATACATAAAAGCAAACAAAATAAATAAAAAGAAATTACTTTTTTAACAGGTATGGATCAAATGGGAAAAAAGTCCTAATCATAGATCCAGTGGAGTTTGATTCTTCCTTTGATTCAAATGCACTATACAGCAAATTTCTGTTGTTTTTCTCAATAACAGGATAAACATAAGCAATTTGATGGTTTCTGGCAGTGCTAGCAAAGTTTTGCACAATAGTTTTGTCACAGTACTTTAGAGGATTTAACCTACAAGTTACTATTCTATCGAAGTTCAGACTCTGAAGATGTCTGTAGCCTGTTAAATTAAATTAAAAATCATTGAATAAAGTTTTTGCATGAGTGATAATAGAAACAATATATTTAAAACAAATTCAATTTAAGGTTACCATCAGGCATGTTGAGAAGTTCCTTAATACGAAAAGAAAACACATAAAACATGGCTTGGCAGACACTGTGAAAAGTACCATGCACTCCAACATCTTGTGAGGTATGGGCATTAATATATCGATGAATCCAACTGCTCATCAAATCAAAACAAGCGGTGACAGTGCTATTAAAAATCAAAGTAAAAACAATCTTCATTACAAATAGAATAATAGAGAAAAATAAAGCAAGGTCAAATGAAAATAACATATAATGGCACTATCAAAAAGTCTTCATCTAATTTTTAATCTGAATAAAAATAATAAACCAAAAAATTAAATGTTTGGATGAACATGGAACATAATTCCATTCACAACTAAAAAGAAAAAATAATAATAAAAAGAACATGAAATTAAATTTTCTTGAATGAACTATGAAACTGAAATCAATAAATGCCCATGAAAATAAAACAAATTATAACAGAATTAATAAAAAAAATCATTATTATACAAAGCATTTAATTAACAGAATTTATTAAACTGAAAGTAGAATTCCTAAAGTCTAATAAAATTATAACAGATTATAACTATCACAGCTTGAAAAGTTAAATCTCGTCACGTTTCATCAAAGTGCAAATATTTACACGTAATATTATATTTGCTCCCTTTTTCCAAACCACATTTAAAGTCTAGTAATCTAGATAAAAAAATAAAAAAAAGACTTCCCTATTGAGAAGTATCACAGTGCACAATTTGGAAAATATAAATAAATGCTATAATTCTAGAATTTCTACTTCCAGTAAAAAGTTCTGGTCTACAAGTCTTTTCAACTGTAAAAATTTGCAAAGCCTTTTTTCCCACTTTTTTTAAAATTAGAAACTCAATAAGAAAAAAGGAAATAAAAATAGCAAAGGAAAACAGTTTTTTGCTCTTACTGTAGATTCTAAAGATTATGAAGTTCTTTAAAATGCTATTTAGAACCTTTTTTCATGATAGTCCTTATTCTTAATTTAGTTATCTAAATAACTAACATGAAAACTACACTTACCGAGTCATTGTTTTTCGCCAAACTATTTGAACTTTTATCATCAATCATTCAAAAAGCACACTACATTTAACTCTGATTTTTTTTGCAACATGTTTCTGTATATTAGAGGTAATATTTTAACATTATATTTACATATAGCTTAATGAATTATTTATTTTTTATACTTCTAAAAAGAACAAAGCATGAAAAAATAGCATTCATTATCTAGTTCTAAATGGATGATAAGTTAATTAACACTTAACGACATGATAACACAGAGCCACAAAACCAGAAACCATAAATGAAAATTTTTTTTCTAATGACTTGATTAAATTTATCAAATTTTTCCCCCATAAAAAGAAGCTTTAGAAGTAAACATTATAAATGCACAAACCTAAGTAATAAAAAGTTTTAAAATTAATGTTGCATTAAGCTAATCATTTTATAATAAAATAATCTTTACACTTGTTTCATAATTTCCTTAGTATTTCAATTTGATCTTTGTTCAAGGTTGCTACAGAAATTTCCAAAATAAATTCGGTGAGATTTCCTTGTCCTTCTGTTAAACAGAATAACAGGAGGCACACAACTATGCAGTACTTAAAGTTTAAGTAGCTAGCATTATTTAATTAACATTCACTTTCATTGAAAGATATTAAACCTGATAATCGCATAAATTATATTATTTAGAAATAAATAAAACACTTTTGCTTATGTAACTCAATGCTTTTACAATCAGTGTTGCTGTTATATATGTACCATATTTGGCAGAAATTACTTTTAATGAAGTATTTTTCCTTCTTAAAATTTTTTATTTTCTCTGAGATTTGCCGGATTGCACAAAAAATACATAAAATTTTAGAGTACATAGTATTCAAACAATGCTTTTTTTTTTGATTTTCGATTTTCTTTCTTCTCTTTAACAACATCAGTTTTAAGTTAAAGGCTGTAAATGATTAAAAACTTTTATTATAATAAAACTTAAACACAGTTAAAAATTGGGTGATGTATTTTTATAACAAGTGAAATTAAATAACTTGAAACTTAACTAAATAACTCAAAAATAAGTTGTGACAAAAATAACTATTAAATAACTCAAAAATATGTTGCATCAAAAAGATTATGATGTTTGATAAACAATACAGCACAGAAATAACTCATATTGATGCAATTTGTTTTTGAGAAAATTTAAAGCATTAAGTAAAAATGAACTTACTTGATGCTAACATATTTTGCTCTAGAAAGCACAGAGCCAATATAAAAAGCTGCTATTTGTCTATAAATAAAACCAACTTTTAGGTCTTGAACTTTCTTCCATAAATAGTCCAAAAATCCATCACAAAGGTCTTGTTTCAGGCTGCATATATAAAACATTAAATACTGTACATGACAACATTCTTGAGTGGGTAATATTACTTTGTCAAAAATTGTAAGAAGTTCTTTATATAATTTTTTGGTAGCTTTCCAATCAAGCTCATCTTTGCCTAAAAAAAACAAAAAACATCAAACATTTTTCATTTATAACTCAATTTATAAAGCAACATGTTTAAAAAAATAGGCTTTAAAATTCCATTCAATTTTAGCTTTAAATATATTTTTTCTTAACAAGAAGTAAAAAAAAAGTTTCTTAATACAGTTCACAATTACAATCAAGTTTTCTTTTATTATTTTAGAAAAAAAATAATAATTATAAAATATTACAATGTTTACTTTAGATTATTGGTTGCTTAGATTGTGATCTCCATGGACCACCACACAGAAAATATTTTATCTAGGGACTCTATTTTTTGGAGAAGTCTTTCAAATGATTTAGAAGAGTGGGTTTTCAAACACATATCTCCTAAACATAATTGATACACTTACAGAATTTTTCAAAATTGTACTGATTTAAACACTATTCAAGCTGGTTAGTTTTTTCAGATGAATACACCATATATTTTTAATGAAATTTTTATTCAACAAAGAAATTGAAGATGAGAAAGAAAAATCAAAAGATAATAAAGAGTAATGCAAGTTTACTTAATTATATGCGTTTTTAAATAAATTTCGCTTAGACAACAGTTTGGTGACCACTGCTCTAGATAAAGCATTTACAAAATTCATGCATATTACAGAGCATCCTTCTTTTTCCTTTACACTTACTTTTCTTTACTTAAATTAATGAAGTGCTAGAAAATGAACTTTTACTAAAATATGCATACATATTTATGACCTTCTATACTTGATTATGATTTTATATGCTTGCAAGTGGATATTTCAAACTATAATTCACAATAAACAGTAACATTTTGTAAACTATTTCGAACAATAAATTGTTAAATTTTTAACTGGATGCAGCAATATTGAATGGACATAAATAAGATTTAAATAGCTGATCAAATAATTAGTGTAAAATTTAAAATAAATAAAGGAAATAATAAAATCAAAATTGAAATTAATAACTTTTTTTGCTGGGAAATATCACCACATAAATTTACAAATATTTAGTGAAAATGTATGGTTTTAGTATAACTAAATATAGTACAGTGCAACCTCGAAAATCCGGACTGTTGGGGGGTTTGGCAAGTCCGGATTTCCGAAATTGCCGGTTTTTAGATACCCTACTTAAATTGATAGAATTATCGAACTTTCGAAGTTGCCAGGCCGATTTCGCGATTAAACGCGCTAGTGTAGACCTTCGACGTCAATTTTAACATAAATATACTCTTTAAATAATAAATAAAAGGCATTTAAAATCGTCATTTTTCGCCGTAATCGATCGTTTAGATAACATAATATTAGCAATTAAAACTAAAAATATAGGCTTAAAACGCAAGCTGAATTTCAACTTATCGCTGAAACAGATGCTTCAAGACTAGACTGTACCAGCTGATACTAATCCTTTTTTTGTTGAGGGATGAAAGAACTTGTCCTCACCTCCTAAGCTTCAAGGTTAAGAAAGAACCAGTTTTCTTTCTTTACAAGGAGGAAAAACAGAGTGGTAGAAGAATTTCTCCTCCTGAGAGGATTCCCCTTTATATTCTTTGTTAACTATACAGAGCTGATAAGATTGACTGGAATTTCCTTATCAGCTATGAGCTTTCATTCACTCCCCACCCCTACCTCTTCATCTACTGCTTCATTGTTGGAGGAGGGGATTCCCCTTTATATTCTTTGTTATCTATACAGAACTGATATGAATGACTGGAATTTCCTTATCAGCTATGAGCTTTCATTCACTCCCCACCCCTACCTCTTCATCTACTTCTTCATTGTTGGAGAAAAGTTGTGGGATTCCCCTTCAGGAGGAGAGGATTCCCCTTTATATTCTGTATTATATATACAGAGCTGATAAGAATGACTGGAATTTCCTTATCAGCTATGAGCTTTCATTCACTCCCCACCCCTACCTCTTCATCCTCACTCGCTTCATTGTTAGAGAAGAGTTGTGGTTTTGCACTCTTGCATTAAAATTTTTATTTTAAGCGATTTTTTGTAAACTTTTTCTTTTGAAAATTTTTTCTGACGAACTGGGCGTATGAGTCCGGATTTTAGAGATTTCCGGATTTCAGAAGTCCGGATTTTCGAGGTCGTACTGTATTTTCATCATGCATCCAATCATTACCTTTAACTTATTTTAAGAAGTTTTGCTTAGCAAACAAATGTTTAATACAGAGTCAGTTAAGTTACAAACCTTCAAGAAAACAAGTCCTTTTAATATATTTGAATAAACAATCCATCAAAATATCAAGTGTCCGAGCAAGAAGATAGGCCATTTCTTCAGTTTTAGCATTAGCAGGAGCTTCAGTGTCCATACTTTCCTAGAAAGTAAGAAAGCAGAAACAAAAAGATTAGATTAATTAAAGTAGTTAGGCCCAAAATTTATTTAAAATAATTCGTAAAAAACAAACAAACAGCAAAGCTATTTTTCCAACAGCCAGCTGTTAGTCAAGGGGATCATGGAGGTTAAGGATGATGGCCGTGCAGCCCCATAATGATGGTAATGTGGTCAGCACTGACACCGGCTGCCTTGATTTCCCACAGATGCCGGTAACTGCGATTTAAAACTGATTAGACTTCTAGCTACCACTGAGGATAGAATTTCAGTCCTATGCAATGACAGCTCAGCCTCTTAACCTAAGCACCATCGAGATTTGAGAATATAGGTACACATTGTTAATACTTAACACATTAGCGTAAGATCACCACACAAACAACGAATCACATTTAACTTTGTCAAAAGAAAAAAGAGAGAGAGAGAGTTTGCACTGACTAATTTTTCTTTAGTAATACTCTTATCAATGCAGCATTTGATTAAGATCATATTCATGGTTGCTTTATACAGTCTCATGATAAACCCATATAAACTTGTACTAAGTGCTTCCCAATGTAAAATCACTGCATCAGCAGTAATTACTCTTTTGATGCATTTGTATCAGGAAATTAAGAAATTTTATTGAAGGGAAAAACTGTGTGCTTTAAATTATGAATTTTTTTTTAAAGAAAAGAGTAGAAAAACTTCAACATTTCAGAATTAAAATTAGAAGGCCTGGTACACAAGAGGGAAGATTTGAAACAAAGACCACTTAACGTTTTGGATTTTCTGCAGGTATACAGACTCATAGCCTAGCTAGACTGGCCTAGCTTATTGGCTAGATCAGTTAGGATAAGCAACAAAAAAATTTTTTTCACCAAGTTTTTAGCTTAAATTTCTTATCTCCTAATTTTACAAAGCAAGTTTAAAATCTTCTGAATCACAAAACATAAATAAAGGAAAGAGGGAAAATTAAATGCTTTTTTACATTGTAAAATAATTAAGATATAAAGCAATAGTCATTAAGATTGTTAAGTGGGAAAAATCAGTTAAAAATGAAGGACCCAGAAGAAAGCAATTTACCATCAATTCATTATTGTCTTCAGCTACTTGCTCATAATAAGCAATGGTTTCCCGCGAACAATGTACCTGATAAAAAACAAAAAAATATTAATAAATAGTTAAAACTCTACAAATACAGATTTTTAAAGCAAGATTTGATGTGTACTCAAGTAAGATAGAGTAGGAAAGTAACTTTTAATTTCTTTATCCATAATACAATACTGGAAATTTTTTTCATTCTTAAATAATATTATTAAAAATGGTACAACAATTAAACTGTAATTATCATTACAAAATTTTACTTTTAATTAGGGGTAGAAAATATGAAAAATTAAGTAACTGGCCCATCGAACCTGTCACTAAAAGATATTTTTAGTCTATACATACATTTTTATTGCCACATTTCCGTTCATTCGTTTGTTTATTTTCATTACTGTTTAGAAGTCGAAACTCATTTTAAAAAAAGTTAATAAAATTAATTTACAATTACAATACAGAGAATGTGTAGTACTAGCCCTATTTTTTTATATTTTAAATCTGTCATTGAAAAACCGACACAATTTTTTGGTTTAAGACTATTAACGTTTAACGACATAGCCTTGTAATTTTGAACCCATGATCAGTCTATTCTATGACTGTGGATATTTTACGTCAGCACTGCGGTAATACTAGACTTATGATGAAATTCGCTACTTTGTAAAAAAAACCTAGATCAAACATGAAAAAACTGAATCCTTTCAAATCAATTGCTGGTCTGGCGAACCATTGATTATCATTTTATGGTGGCCTGAGTGAAATTTTAGTGGTATCAAACCAACAGACCATNATAAAAAATAAAAATTGATAATTTTATTTTTATTCTTTTGTTAGCTTGCATTCTGAAGGACACTCTTCCTAATTTTTTTTTTTTCGTAAGCTGTAAAACAAATATAAAATATACTGGGGACATGAAAATGACTGTTTTTGTGAGAATGACCCATATATATATACATGAAAAAAACATTTGCACAAAAGTTTTATTAAAAGTAGAAGTTAGTATTTGCAGTTATATAAAAGCACTAAAGAGAAAAATTAAGTAAATTGGAAATGTGAAAAACATTATATTTAAGATTAATTATTTCATTTTCGAGTAAAAAATACTTACATCAACATAAATTAATTTTTCAATGATGCACTGAAGAATGAAAGGTCTTTTAGATTGCAAATATGAGCTTACTGTCAGCATATTTTGAACATAACTTAAGAAGACAGAAGGGGGACTTTTTATGTATGGAAATCGTTCACTCATCATTGTACAAAAAATGTTTTGAGATCTGAAAATAGATGATATCATGAAATTTTTTTTTAAAATTTCAATGTCTGAATAATGACATAATTATATTAAGCATTACTTACATAGGTACTAGTTCTAAAATACTTTTTAAAACAAGATGGATGCATTGTGATCTTTTCAAATCTTGTTTTACATTATCCATTGAAGAGCCTGAAGGGGAAAAAAATGAAAATCATAAGAAATGACAACCAGGGTTAGTTGGTTCAATTATCAATTTTATGTTTTATTCTATTAAAAAATTACAGTTTGAGTTTTTTTTCTAAGACAAATTACGTACTTATCATTCATAATTTAAAAAAAAGAAAAGAAGAAAAACTAGAAAACTAAAACCTACTCTATTTGCTTATTATTAATCCCTATAACTGTGTATCATTATCATTATTTTCCAAAATTTCAAAAGATACAACTATTGTAGCTATATGTAAGAACATTTTGTCAATCGCAGTGAAATAGAGGATTGTTTAAACTTGAAAAATAATAATCTGCATTTGAAAAAAAAAAAAAAAAACAACAACTTTAAATTAAGGATTACAGATTGTGAAACTCAATAGTAAGAAATGGTAATTTTACTCAATAGCAATTATACTCATTCACCATGCTTAAAATTTAAATAGAAAACTGTTTTCATAGCTCTTTTCATTTTAAAAATTTCACTAGAAAGGCTAAGATTTATAGCTGACAAGATGTAATTTTTCTTTCTTTTAAATTTTCCACAACAAATAAATAGTTCTGCTCATAATTTACTTTGATAGAACATGTTCTACATTTTATTACATACATAATTGTCCTTCATTTATTATTTATTTTAATATATTTGATATTAATATATTTTACATCAATATTTGTTCCACATTTTATTCCATTAATGTATAATTTAATTATATAAATTCTAGCTTTATCAATTTGCATACTATAACTTAAAAGAACAAAAGTCTGTCAACTCAAATCATGAAAAAATAAATAAAAAAGTGTGTATAACTACTTTGCACAAAAAGACAACACTTAAATTATTTGCATAATTTAGTTTCTCTTTATATGTATTATTCTCTCGATATATTCCTAAATATTTCACTGTATCCTCATGGAAAAATCATTTCTGTGATTAATAATAAAATATAGTCATATTAAATTTCTAAATTTAAGCAAAATATCTCACAACAGATACGAGCATGGCTTCATAATGTAGAAAATTATTTTCACTAGACAATATATCTAGCTCCTAGAATTATATTATTCACCTACTACAACGTGGAAGTCAATGCTATTTTTATCAGAAAAGATAAAAGAAAATACCATTAGAATTTCAAGCAATAAAAACACTACTTAAAATATTTCTAATGCTACCCACTACCTATTAAAATCAGGTTCGTCTTGAGAATATTTGTTCTTATAAAGCAGCTGATATTATAAATTGGAATGTCATATAGGAAAAAATTACAAATACACAAAAAGTTAAATTGATTACATTTATATTTTATTTTTACTGAATCCAGATTTGGACATTTAAATGCAGAAAATTAGTTAAATTTTTTTTAAAAAATTTACAGAAGTGTTTCAAAATATTAACATAAAAGTTTGATTAACAAAACTTAGAATTAATTTTCAATTCTACATCGTTTGAAGGTTTATAAATAAAAGATTTTCTAGCAAATTTCAATTTCAACTCGACAGTTTTTTTTAAAAAAAAAATAAATTAAAAAGCAGTTATTATAAAGAACTTGCAAAAATGTATATTTCGCATAAGATATTTTTTTCTAGTTCTTTTGAAATAAATTTTAACTTTCTCCAGTTTCAAATATTTTAATAACTCTTGTTAAAGTACATAGTACAGATGTTAGAGATTAACATAAAAACCTACCAATCTTATATTTTCAAATTTGAATGCATAAGAAAATGGATACTTGTATATATGCACTTTATAAAAGAAAAAATCACAGTAAATCATTAATTAAATTTGCTTGTAACACGTAAAATAAAAGTTATTTGCTGTTATTTTTTTTCTAACTCTTGCAATTCATTTTTTTCTTTCTTTTGCAGTTTTTCTTAAACTATTAGATTTTGACAGCTAAGTCATATCATTTTGTTTCCCTGCTTGGTCAGCAAATTCATCAGCTGACTTAGTAAGTTCATCTATGAAACGCAATAATCTAAGGAGTTTCTAAGGACTAATTTGGAAATCTAAGTAGTTCCAAGTACTCCTTGGAGACTTTTTTTATTTCCAAGGAGTATAAGGAGTGTGTACGAACCCTGCCTTATATAATGAGTGTTTATCACTGACATTAAATGATGATAGGTAGCCAATGACTCCTCTTAATCCGTAAACAGTTTTCATTCGAATTTCTTTATGGAGAGTTTCATGGCATTTCAACTCTCCCCCTTCAGTTTCCCTAAAAAGAGTTGTCCACATGGTTAGTTAACAGACTTTTTATTTCTTTGGAACACAACGGGATTTGTTATATGCTTACATGCCTTCCATTTGGTAAGAAAAGCAGTTTTGAATTATTTTAAACATATGCCCTGCAAAAAAAAAGATTATAAAATTGCAATAATTATTTTATGAAAGGATGATTTAACTTTGTTTCGATACTGTAATGATTTTGCACTTGCAGATTTAATTTTAAAGAAGCTGCTGATTTTATAATCCAGTGATTTTATTAGTAACAGTAATTCTGTAATACTCTATATCAGTGTTCCCCAACCCCCGGTCCGGTCATTGGATCAAATGGCACCGGGCCGCCCATCTCATTTAAACTGAATTTAAATTCCTTGGTTCATACCACAAATTAAAAATATCTGTGCTACATCAAACTTTTATTTATTTAAAAAAGGGGCACCAGAAGGTAGTAACATAAATTTTTTAATGTTTTAAAAAGTAAAAAAAAAAAAAAAANAAAAAAAAAAAAAAAAAAAAAAAAAAAAAAAAAAAAAAGAAAACCACCACAACTATTTTCTCATTGAATTAGTTTTAATAAAAAAAATCAATCATCATAAGTGTAAATATCATAAATAAAACACGAAAACATGGCGCGAAATTTACATTGGAATAAACTGGACATAAGCAACACACATCGAGGTGTCATTGTCTCCGATGATTACCCCCAGATGGAACCGTCTCATTGCAAAGAAACAAGCTCAGGGTTCTCATTGATTTAACGTTCTAGAAAGTTAAAATGTTAAAGCACTTTATATCCATTTTTTGGTGCAACTGTATTTTATTTGGAAGGCATCTTTAAATACAATTAAATCAAAATAATCTAAAATATAAACAATCAACGACCCCCCCCCCCAGCGGACCGCGCTAAAATTATCAAACGCTTACAGGTCCGCAGTGATAAAAAGGTTGGGGAACACTGCTCTATATCAAAATGGTTGGGGGGGGGGGGAAAAAGATTTACTTTACCTGAAATAAATGCTTTGATGAACATTGTTAAAATCACATTTAAATAACTCATGTCTGCAATAATTAGATTTAGAATAAATTCTTTGTATGCTGCAATGAATTGTGCATCTTTTGTATACCAAGGGATAGCCTATAAAAAACAAATAAAAATTGTGAATAAGTATAAAATTTTAAGATCAGAAAAGACAATATTTTTCCAGTAAAATTTCCCATTCTTCATAAACATAGTAAAATGCATTAGGGTAATCCAAACAATATTTTTATTGATTGGATCTAAGTGTGTGTGTTCAAGTAAAAAATAATTCAGTTTGAACCCATTATTTTAATATTTAAGGGTGGCACAACATTCTCTGTATTCCTCTATTTTATATGCTACAGGTGTGAAAATTTAGCGTTTAATATTGTGAACTAAAAATAATAAAAGTAATATTTTAACAGCAATTAGCGTTCCTGAGAAAGCACTTGCTAAACCCTGTTATCCGAATGAAAAACTCAATATAATTTTTCAATAACCTACAGAAAGAATTTCTCTTTAATGCAAGTATTTTTTCTCCTGAGGACGCTTCAACAAGAACGTTATACTCTTTTTAACACAATTAAAGATAATTGCCTAGTTTACTGAAAATGACTTTTTCATCAATCTTTTTTATAGTGCAAAACAAAAAGGAAAAATTCATTAAATTAAAATCATTATTTAATGCATTTTGAGGTAAAGAAGCAATGATACTTTTTTTTGAGGTAATGAAGCAATCACACATGCTGAGAAAAAGCAGCAGCAAACTTTTAAATATGTGTGCATAGCGAACGTACACATTTATAGCAATTATTATTATTTTTTTATAATATGGTAGATATTGTAAACTGACAACTTCAATAGAAGACAGTGCAATATTTTTGATAATGACAGGTACTACAAATCTCATTCTATGAAAAGATGTTTCACTGATAAATATTAAAACAAGTTCAAGAAATTTTAAATAAACTTTGCTTGAGCAGGAATCGGGCAATACCTTTTAAGCAGATTTAAGACTGCCTAAATGAATTTAAATTTTTCAAATGGATCTAAAAGTGCAAACAAGTTAGCACTTAAGTAAACAAACAAAATATTTGTTTTACTAACTAATAATTTGTTTTACTAACTTTGTTTACTTACTAATAATTAATTTAATACTTGTTTTACTAAAATTACATTAAAAATTTTCAATAAGATTTATCTTTAATAATTTTCAATTAAGTATAATTCTGAACACAAAAAGCTAAATCAAATAGCAGAATCAAACTTTATTTGCAATCTAGGTTCTTTGTTACTTACAACAAAAAGTACACAATTTAATTTATTGTTAGTAAAATATAAAGAATAAAATCTTTAACTAAGCTTTAAACTGTTGACACTCAACCATATACTTACTAATAAAGCATAAGTTATTCTTTTATTTTCATTGTCCAGGAAACGAATATTATCTTTCAACTCATTGAGCCACTGGATGATTAACTGATCCTACAAAATTGGTACATTTTAGAACTTGTGAACATAATAAGCAAATATATATATATACATATGCAAATCCAAATAAAAATGTTAAACAAAATAAATATGTTAAACAAAAATAACAAATATGAAAAGAATTTTGAATAATGTATTGACAAATAAATTTTGCAACAGATAACAATAACTTTAACGCCTGATTACCATATTTTAAAACTACAATAGCTTTATATACATTAAAAAAAAGTTTACAATTTACCATGTTAGAACAGGTATGTCTTAATAGAAAGATTTTGGGAAAAATAGTATAAAGTTTTGAATAAAAACTTTCAGAAATAAACTTACATCAGTTTCAGGTGAACTAATCAGTTTTATAATTGAATGCAGTTTAGATGAATGTGATAAATTATCTTCTGCTTTTAAATACTGAATCATTCCTTGATCATTAGGAAGGTTAAAAGTCACTCTAGGGGAANGGATTTGTATTCTTTTAATGCCATAGAAATAACAAAAACTATTCAAGCACACCATGAAATATGATTCAATAGAGGATACGACACCAACCAACCAACCAAAAATAATAATTATGAATTCACAAAAGTTTAAAAGATACTTCCACTCTAGAAATGATATTTTTTCTTCCATTTTTGAAAGAATACCATAATTTTTAAAGAACATAATAAAAACACTTTATATTTCAATAAAATATGTCTCTGAGTAGGGATTTTGTTACAAATTCAGATATTCGGAACACAGTGCAATTGGGAGGGGGGAATCACATTCTAAAAATAAAAATTTTTAGCGACCTAAATTCATGACTTTTCATGATTTTTTAAAAAAAACAATAGTTAAAATCATGACATTTCATGATAAATTTTGTTCAATACAGAAATTCATGACTTTCAGGTGCGCGGATATCCTGTAAGAAAAACAGAGTTTTGAATTATTTCCCGCAAAAAAAAAGAGTATAAAACTGCAATCATTATTTTATGAATGGATGATTTAGCTTTATTTAGATATTGTAATGATTTTATACTTGCAGATTTGATTTTAAAGAAGATGCTAATTTTATAATCCAGTGATTTTATTAGTAACAGTAATTCTGTAATACTCTATATCAAAATAGTTGGGGAGAAAAAAAAAAGATTTACTTTACCTGAAATAAATGCTTTGATGAACATTGTTAAAACCACATTTAAATAACTCATGTCTGCAATAATTAGATTTAGAATAAATTCCTTGTACGCAGCAATGAACTGTGCATCTTTCGTATACCAAGGGATAGCCTACAAAAACAAATAAAAATTGTGAATAAGTATAAAATTTTAAGATCAGAAAAGACAATATTTTTCTAGTTAAATTTCTCATTCTTCATAAGCATAGTAAAATGCATTAGGGTAATCCAAACAATATTTTTATTGATTGCATCGAATTTAGTTAATTCAGTTTTATACTTCAGTTTGAATCCATAATTTTAATATTTAAGGGTGGCACAACATTCTCTGTATTCTTCTATTTTATGCTACAGGTGTGAAAATTTAGCATTTAATATTGTGAATTAAAAATAATAAAAGTAACATTTTAACAGCAATTAATGTTCCTGAGAAAGAACTTGCTAAACTCTGTTATACGAATGATAAACTCGATATCATTTTTCAATAACCTACAGCAAGAATTTCTCTTTAATGCAAGTACTTTTCCTCATAAAAAAGCTTCAACAAGGATTATTTCCTCTTTTCAACACAATTAAAGATAACTGCCTAGTTTACTGAAACTGAATTTTTCATTAATCTTTTTTACAGTGTAAACAAAAGCATTATTTAATGCACAAACATTATTTAATGCATTTTGAGGTAAAGAAGCAATGATACTTTTTTTTGAGGTAATGAAACAATCACACATGCTGAGAAAAAGCAGCAGCAAACTTTTAAATATGTGTGCATAGCGAACGCACACATTTATTGCAATTATTATTTTTTTTATAATATGGTAGTTATTGTAAACTGACAACTTAATATCAATAGAAGACAGTGCAATATTTTTGACAATGACAGGTACTATAAATCTTATTCTATGAAAAGATGTTTTACTGATAAATATTAAAACAAGTTCAAGAAATTTTGAATAAACTTTGCTTGAGCAGGAATCATGCAATACTTTTTAAGCAGATTTAAGGCTGCCTTAATGAATTTAAATTTTTTAAATGCATCTAAAAGTGCAAACAAGTTAGCACTTAAGTAAACAAAACAAAATATTTGTTTTACTAATAATTAATTTAATACTTGTTTTACTAAAATTACATAAAGAATTTTCAATAAGATTTATCTTTAATAATTTTCAATTAAGTATAATTCTAAACATAAAAAGCTAAATCAAATCTCAGAATTAAACTTTATTTGCAATCTAGGCTCTTTGTTACTTACAACAAAAAGTACAGAATTTAATTTATTGTAAGTAAAATATAAAGAATAAAATCTTTAAACTGTTGACACTCAACCATATACTTACTAATAAAGAATAAGTTATTCTTTTATTTTCATTGTCTAAGAAACGAATATTATCTTTCAACTCATTGAGCCACTGGATGATTAACTGATCCTACAAAATTGGTACATTTTAGAACTTGTGAACATAATAAGCAAATATATATATATACATATGCAAATCCAAATAAAAATGTTAAACAAAATAAATATGTTAAACAAAAATAACAAATATGAAAAGAATTTTGAATAATGTATTGACAAATAAATTTTGCAACAGATAACAATAACTTTAACGCCTGATTACCATATTTTAAAACTACAATAGCTTTATATACATTAAAAAAAAGTTTACAATTTACCATGTTAGAACAGGTATGTCTTAATAGAAAGATTTTGGGAAAAATAGTATAAAGTTTTGAATAAAAACTTTCAGAAATAAACTTACATCAGTTTCAGGTGAACTAATCAGTTTTATAATTGAATGCAGTTTAGATGAATGTGATAAATTATCTTCTGCTTTTAAATACTGAATCATTCCTTGATCATTAGGAAGGTTAAAAGTCACTCTAGGGGAATTTAAAGTATCACCCTTGGCAGAATTTGTTTTCAAGATTGGTTGCAGTACCATAGCCATTTAAATAACCTTAAATAAAAGAAAGAACATATTAACAATATTCATACATAAACATATGCTACAAAAAAGAAAAATTGCCTGAAATTATGAAGTTGTGTTGAATTAATTTTATTATACCTAAGACTTTATTGCTTAGCAAACACATTATATTATTTATTAAAAAAATTTTTAGCTATGTAAATGTGGGGGAAAATTTTTTTTTTTTAAGAGAATAAAACTTATTAATATGGAATATTTTGAGAATGTTAAAAATACACCTGCATCTCACAATAAATAATGTACAATTACAAAGCAGAAGAAAAAAATAGTGCATGAAAAAAGAAATGTTAGGTTCGGAATAGAAATGCTAAATTCGGAGATTTATGGACTGAGATTATTTTTGATTAAATTTTGTTTTGTGGGAGAATAAAAAGCAAATTTAAATAATTTATGTATTATGACATGACTACAAATTATTAAAAATGAGTTTTAAAGTGGATCTCTACTTACAAACATTAATACTTTTAAATGCCCCATAACTATTTATGATAGTTTTCTATTTGATGAGATAGATAACAAACATATTGAAATACCAGAAGTACTTCTTACTAAAAAATAATTAAACATAACTTAGGTTAATATAGTAGAATCCCGCTTTTCTGTACGACTAACATTAAAAAAAGCATTAAATCTGATAACGTAAAATTGGGGTAAAAGAAATAAAAGCATATTTTATAAAGATTAATAATTATGAGACAAACTACTAGAAAAAATGCATAATCTTTATAGGGTTTTTGGATACAATTTCTATAATAGCTTAATGAATACTTACTATTATTTGAAAATTTGATTTATATGTTCAGGAGTTTGTCCAGGTTAAATTTACTACCGTTTAGCGGTACCTTCACAAATTCAACTTTATGTTTCACAAAATACTTTTTCTTAAAATTTTATTTTTGTATCCCGTAAGAAACGATAAATCCATCCAATCATATTTGTGGTGACTTTTTAATATAATTTTTAATTTTCTCAAATTATGTCTACATTTTCACAAAATAGGTAGCTCTCAGAAAAACCTAGACAGACCCCTGATGCTACATTCTCAAATGTTTCAGAGTTTTTATGCTTTCAAACTCTTGATCAGTTACGGGCATGTATTACATTATTTTTTGCCCATCTTTATTGTTTTCAACACTATTAAAAAAAATTTTAAAAAAGGGGGAGGGAGAAGAAAGAGAAAACTCAGGAAAAGTTTGTGCGAGTTTTGCATGGAAAAAATGAGATTTTGATCTGTTAGATACATATTAAATGGAATTTTTAAAAAAAGGGTAACATAAATTTCTGGATAATTTAAGATAGGTGGTATAGACAATTTTCACTGACCAGCATTAATGACAAAGGAAGCGAGAAAACGTACGAAACAAACAGAGTAAAACCAGGGTTCCACCGTAACAGTTTGCCGACTTTAATCAGTATCTGTGTATTAGTATTGCTGTTTCATGTCTTTAAAATTAAGCAAACAAAATTTAACAACATAGTATTAATTAAAAGAAATTCTTTCAACTATTAATATTTATCTAAGTCAAGCACAGATAGTATTATAAAAATGTTCAAATTATTTTGAAATAATGGAATGTAAGTAGTTTAATAGTTAACATTAAATAGTTGCACATGCAATATTTAACACAAAGTGATAATTATAGGAAGATTTTTTTTAACCATAATATAACTTTATAGATTTAAAGGGCAGTAAAAACAATAGAAATACAAAAGTTATCCAGAAATTAAAAGTGAGTAATTTAATAGTTTAATTAAACAATAGTAATTTAACTTACAAATAAAATTAGTATAATTTATAAATATGTTAGATTTGAGTGGAAAAACTTAAAAAACATGAAGCATAGTTTTTTATTCAATAAAAGACTCATAGTTTATTGATTGAAATGGTTTTTAAGAAACTGATTGTACCTAATAAAAAATTTAATTAATTAATTAAGCAGGGGTGATTATGAGCCCAACTCAAAAATCCTGAAAATTTCTTCATTAGGATCTTCTGAAATCATTAATGACGCATTTCGAAAAATTAATGCTTTTATAATTTAAATCATTGATATTTTCAAAAAATGAAATTCTAAATAAATTATATACAGCATAATTCAAATCAATAATTTGTATAAGGTTACTTTTATGTCTAATCACGCTGACTATTTTACCATTAAAAATATTTACAAATGAAAGAGAGGCCAAGCATAAATTTTAGTTCTAATATTTCTAAAGAAAATATACAAGAATTTTTATAATAAATGTGATCGATGATTTAAGGAAACTTCTGGATCCCTGAATCCTGATCAGCGAAAGTTTTCATCTTTAAGAATAATAATCATCCTTCATTAAGAATCATCACAATCATCTTTGATTAAGAATAATAAATTCAATAAATTTTGAAGTTAATCTAAAATATTAATAACAATTTAAAATGTGATTGATTATAATAATACTATTTCAGTATTATATATATACTTTTACTCAAACAAGTTAATCAATTAGATTCCAAATTGATTTTTTTATTATAAAAGAATAAACCAGGTAAAATTACCACAAGAAATGGTTGTTCAGATGCGAATTTAGATAATTTGTTTATCAAGAAATTATAATTAAAAATCATAGCAAAGTATACACAGATATACAAGAAAAATATATACCTTTGAATATTTAAATAAATTTACCGATCTAGATATAATAAACTATGCACAGCACAGTTATTAAGATTCAGTCAAAGTTTAAAATGGTAAATAATATATTTTATAAACAAATACGATCTGTAAAGAAATTTGATCTAAATATGACAATAAATATTACTGCGACGACCACGAGGATTAGTTTCACTATGCAAAAAATATTGCGAAGATGAATACAGTTTTATTTCGGACAAAATATTATTTGTCACATTTTTACAAATGATTTATTGATCAGGACAACATTAGATTGAAAATCGGTAAATTTGACACGAAAACAACAAAACATGGGACGACGAAGAGAAATTCGCTAATTTGTTGTGTTGCCAAATTTGTAGTTTAAACTCATATGTGATATTTTTGTTGCCGTTCATGCTTTTTGAAAGTAAATCAGTTCATATAATAGAATATATGTGTCATGACGTCATTAAAGTTTCTTTATATTCTCAACAGATGGCAGTAAAAAACTGGAGTGTATATTTTCTGTGAAGCATATATGTACTAATTTGAGCTCTCAATTCCATTTCATTCGATTTTTATTTAATAGATTTTAAAAGAAATTTCCACGAAATGGTTTAAGTTGCAAATATGTCAGGAAATAGTTTAAAATAAGTTGCTTTAAAAATTAATTAAAAAGGAATGAATAAAAATGGGAAATGAGTGACCCATTTTTATGAGTAAACCATTTGATCATTATGTGATACTTAAAGAAAAAGAAATTATTTAAAAGTGATCTTGCGTAAAATTTCAATTTTTATGAGGGATTTTTTTTCTTTGAATTACATTGAAATATCAATTTTAAATGTATTGTGTTAAAATTATCATTAATAATAATATTATAATTATTAATAATGAAAATTCAGCTAGCTTTTAGCTTATAAATGCAATAAATCAATTTGGAAAACGGCAAAAGGGTGATACAAATATAATCATGATAGAAAAATAATCATTCAAAATTTAATTCCATAGTAACTTATATTTAAGTTTATTTTTATAATTGTTCATTTAGTAAAGCGATTTTTAAAATATGATGCTACGTGTATTTCCAAACCATAATATATTTTTTTAAAAAGTAAAACAAACAATTTTGATTGTTCTTACTTAAAGAATCGCGAAAAATAACACTATATAATAGTATAATATAAGTTTCGGCACACTGTTCTTTTTTTGATTGCGGTATCATATTAAAATATGGGCATTTGACTAAAAAAAATAAATAAAAATTAAAAAATATATAAAAATAAGATATAAATAAGTAAATAAAAATAAAAATTGAAATAATAGTAGCAAATAAATAAAATAAATAATGAATTGATGAATAAAATAAATAATAAATGAAAAAAATATGTGATAAATAAATAAAATAAATAATTGCGGAATTTCGGCTGTCTACCATCTATAACGACAACCAGAACAATATAACGGTTTAAATTGTATTCGGTTTTTAACTCTCTTGAGTCTTTATTCTTAAAAATTTTGATACAAATGTTAAGCTTTATAACTGGTTAAATTTTTTCTCTCAGCCTTTCATCTTTTCGCCACATTTATTAATTTGTTCGTTACTTGTTTGATGTAAAATCAAATCAAGTGTGAACTTATGAAACGGAAGATCTCGAGGGTGATAAATAAATGTTTCGACAACAATAGCTAAATATTTGTTATTTGAAATGAAAAAAGTGAGAAAAAAAAATTAACGAAAGATCTCAAAAAATGTCAATGACACTCGGGTAAATCGGAATTTCAAAAAGAACTCGTGTAAATGTTCATAAATGAAAATTTTCTTGTCACCTTATCAAATTTCAACTCTGTAGCTGCATTTCAGAGGGTCGTAGATTGGATCTCATTGAATTTTTTGATACAAATTCAAAAGTTAATAATTAATGAATTGTTGAATGTTTAATTTTTTTTCTCATTCCATTGCGCTCCTTGCATATTTTTCGACACACTATTACAATTTCATCATTTCAAACTTCGCAGTTTTTGCACAGTAAAACAGAGTGTAACGTAAAGCTGGAAAATAGTTCTCATGATTTTTTTAACAATGAGAGAAAATTTTGAAAAAAAAATTATTTTGTAAAAAACACCCTGAGTCTATAATATATATAAAGCTGTAACACATTAGCGGTACACTGCACATTATAATTCATTTATGTGTAATTTTTTGTGCAGTGTGTAACTGGTTTATACTGAGACATCGTAGTCTTATTTTCGAAAAACACTAATGTATGTCTGGAATATTTTACGGAAATTTTTTTAAAAAATTCTCAATTTGTTCGAAACAAATTCAGTCTATATAGTTGAGTATAATAGCACTAATATAAGGAGCACATCTTCGAACTTTTTATAATTATTTGCAGTGCCCTATTTTGAAATTTGTTTCATATTAAGATATAAGAGTCATGTTTCCCCACTAAAAAATAATAATGCTCAGAAAAAACTTTCAAACGCTCCATAAAGAAAACAATAATATGTATGACGTAAAAAGAAAATTTTCGTAAAAATTATATTTTGTCCAAAACACAGTAAATTTAGGGATCATATAGCACTATCATTCGGATGGACGTTTAGCGATTTCTTTAAAATAATTTTTAGGACCATGTAACTATCATCATCATTAAAACTGATATCGTGTCAACTTGATGTCATGGTGTCAAGTTTTCCAAAAACACCTATTCATGTCTAGAATTATTTATTAAATTTTTTATGGAATATTTTTTTTGTCAATAGCCCACTCAGTGTAAAGTATAAATATCGCTAACAGAGGATGGACAATTTATTTTTTACAACAGAAGGATATTCCACCACCTGATCGCTCCACAAGCCATCCCCCGTTATTGATTCTCATTCATTATTGTTTATTTCTTCCTCAACAGCAATACGTTAAACAAAGAGCATTCTGGTTTCAAAATACATGATTACTTTAGCTTTATGTAAGAGCATTTTGTTAACATGTAAATTATGACGAAATCGCAAATTATTTGGATTTGAAAAATAATCATCTGAACACGAAGAAAAAAAAAAGATTAACCAAGAGAACACAGAACGTGTGACTCTATAAGAAAAATAAATGAGGAGTAATTTTACTCGTTGACGACATTTATAGCGATTCAAATCGGGAATAATTTTATCTCTCTTCACTAATTTTTTATAATTATTTTTTATTTTTAAAAATTTCACTATTTATGTTAAGATTCATACCTTGCAACACGTAATCTCTCTCGAAGAAAGAATGAATTTTCTATAACAATGGACAGATAAAAGAAGAAGCAGGAAAAAAAAGAAGCACTCGAAAAAGCACTTAAGTTTGCAATAACTTCAAACAAATGTAATTTTTTAAAAATATTCCAGTTAAAATTATTATAAAAATGGTCCCTATCAGCACATTAAATTTCAACTCTGCAGTTGCATTTTAGCGGACAATGGATCAACGAATATGTTTTTTTTTTTTACTGTATGTTTATCAGTTAATTCTCGAACTAATCGTAATTGTTTCAAAAATTTCATCGAATTTCTTTCACTCTTTTCTGCAACTCAACTTTTTCATTTCATGTAGTGAGAAAAAATTTTCAAGAAAAGCCCTTAAAATTTCAATAACGCCATCTCAATATGTCATCTCTATAATTGTATTCCTGCTGCATGAAGAGCTGCCCGTTTGATATTTCTTCCAGTAAGTTTCACAGTTAATAATTCTCAAACTAATTATCGAACGTAAATTTTTTATATTCATCGTAATTCTCCAGTACGGTTTTTCTACACACTTTAGTACTAAATAGCAGTTAATTAAAATCAATTTAGTATAATTAATTTAGTTTAGTGTTGGAAATCTAGCTTAAGTTTTTAAGTCTTATGGACTTTACGCAGCAAAACAAAATGAAACGTTAAGTTGAACACCCAAAACACTGGAGTAGGCGTTGCCCATACGATATTTTAATAACGAGAAAAGTTACAATGCGAAATTTTTTTCAGACTTGTTTAATATCAAAATAAGGGCGCAATTCTTCCCCGTAAAACCCTAGATGTGAAGAATTATTAATACAAATTTAAAAGAAACCCTTTTTGTTCAAAAATCACTCTGTTAGTGCTGGATGGAAAACTAACAAATTTTTTACACAACTTCATTCCCTTGTACTTATTTTTTTTCCTTTTTTCATCATTCCGGTAAACTTACAAGGAGGCTCTGCTCATCAACCCCAGGAGTAGCTTCGCATTCATCATTTTTTTCCCCTTAGAAGTCGATAAAAATGAATATTTTGTGTGTAAAATATATAATTATTAATATTTTTGTGTCAGAACATTTTATTAATATGTTAAAAGTAACGCAATAAATGTATAGCTGGATTAGAAGATTAATAAAATGTATTTGGAAAAAAAAAAAAAAAAACAGCAACAACTTATCAATGCAGAATGTGCTACACAATAAAAAGCAACTTTGCTTATAAACAATATGTAATATTTGGATCACCTTATTTCATACAACAGTTCGCATTGGAAACAGTTTTATTCTCTATTCTGTCTTTGTTTTATTAAAACTTTGAATATAAATATTAAGATTTATATCTGGCAACATCTAATCTCCCTCATTTTTTATTAATATTTTTTTTTTTTTTTTTGTTGTTACAATGGACATCAAGTCAAGCATTAGTTCAAAGAATGAAATTCGTGGGAAAAATGAATTTTTCTACAACAACGGGTAAATAATTATTATTTAAAGAAAAAAAAAATGAAAAAAAAATACTTAAAACTACAATAAGTCTTGAAAGAATTGAAATTTCGAGAAAAAGAAAAACTCTCGTTAATTTTATAACTCAAAATAGTATATTTAATTCTAATGGTATACCTAATTTTAATGGTATACCAGTTTTATAATTTTATAACCCTTTCTAATTTTATAACTCAAATTTTATAAATCAATCAACACGTCAAATTTCAACTCAGTAGTTGCGGGTAAAATATTAGCTAACTTTTCATTTTTTTACTACAAGTTTAACAGTTAATAGTAACTACTCGAATTAATACACGAATCGTAAAATTTTTTTATCCCATTGAACTCCTTGCACATTTTTGTACAAACTTCATAATTTCAAGTTTCTAAGTCTTATAATTTTTATGCAGCAAAATAAAATGTAACGTAATGTTAAAGAAAGGGTGAAAAGAAAAAGCATTTAGTATTAATATAATTGTCGAACAAAATCGAATTTCGGAAAAATTCTGTGTTAAGTTCATAAACAAATATCTCTCTTTCAGCATGTTAAATTTCAACTCTGCAATGGCGTTCCTATTTCCTGCGGCCCAGAGAGCAGAGCGTTTTGTATTTTTTTCTATAAGCTTTAAAAATAATTATCGAATTAATTATTGAATGTTCTTTTTTTAATTCCTTTTGTAATCTCTGTACATTTTTTACACACCATAGTAATTTCTAGTTTCTAAGTCTTGTAGTTTTTGCTTAGCAAACCAAAATATAACTTTAAGTTGAATACTCCAAAATAGCTATAGCAGAAGCGGCCATAGCGCTTTTTTTAAAATTTTTCTTAATTTTATTTATTTTTTTTAAATAATGGGAAAAATACAATTGTCATATCTTTCGAAAACACGCATGTTTCTCTTTAATCCTGTATAGAACAAGGATGGCTCAGCCCCACCTCGCTTTGCTCACACACGCCCCTGGTTGCTTTCTATTGATCATCACTTTTCTTCTTATGAAAGGAGTAACCTTAAAAAAGTATCATTTTCTTCATAAAATACGTAATTATTATAATTTTGTTATTTAAAATTTAGTGGTATAAAATGTAGTTATATGTTAATTATAATGAAGGGAACGATTACCCGGATTTGAAAAATAATTAACAGCATTTGAAAGTGAAAAAAAAATTTTTGGATACAGAACGTGTGACATAATAAGAACTAGTGGATGAAAAGCCATTTTACATGTTAAATAATTGGTTAAACCTTCCTGGTTTCAGAGAACAACGAAACTTGAGGTTAATGTCTGCAGTTATGAGGTGAAACAGTTAGGTAGATATTCCAAATTATATGATGCAAACATGAAAAGCAAATTATTAAGTTTCTTTTGCTGGATAATTTTGGAAACAAAAGCCAAACAAATAATTTAATAATGCTTATTCCAAATACTGTAATTTCACGGTCGAATCTCAGTGATAGCTGGTGGATTCGAATTCTGATCCCGCCTTATGTCCAGTACTGATGTAAAATATCTCCAGTGGTAGGCGGATCAAGTATAGAATCCTCTTGCCGTCGGGCTGACTGTGGATGTTTTTGTGGTTTTCCTTCCCATGAAATGCAACTATGGATTAGTTCGAACAAATACTCCTCCACATAGGTTAGTTTGTTCTAATGCTTGATCCAGTTCTTCGCTTGTGTTCTAGGTCGGGTTCAAAATTACAAGGCATTTATAGTCTAAAACCGAAAAATATGTTGGCTGTTGGTAAAAAAATAAAACAGAACATTATTATTAAAATTTTTGATACCTTTTAAAATTTAATCTTAAAATTAATTTACTAAGATATTTTCTTTTTATGAAAGAATTTTCAGCATTCATTTTATATTTATTATTAATATGTATACAAAGTAAATTATGTTTTAAGAGTAACAAATGATACATAACATTTTAATTATTTTATTAAATAAAGTTCTTTTCAACACAGCACAAATAAAGGCCTTATTTGAATAGCTAGCTTACCTTTCATATTCATGCAAGTCATTTCTCTCTAATTTTTAAAACAAGTACTCCTCCAACTTGTTTCTGCTGCCAAACAGAGGGCGTTATAAATGAGGCAAAATAGACAATAAACAAAGATAAGTGTCTGATTATTCAAATTAGGTTTTCAAATGATTTCAGAAACTTAAAATTAAACAAAAAAAACATTTGTAACATTTTTAATGTATAAAATCATTATCAGAACCTTTTAAGGTTGAAAAATTTGTTAGTTTAATTTTGTGTCAAATTCTATTGATTAGAGATCAAACTAGTAATTTTGAGAGCAGAAACTAATCGAAAATGTGTAAAATAATAGTTTTACTTCCGCATTCTGGATTCACGTGTAGTATTTTGGTTAGGGCAGTGTCCATTATAGTTTGCATGCAACTAGTTTCGAAGCTTTCAATATTTATATCCATTAAAAAATTTTCCAATTACTTTAGTGTGCCATGCATATGTATAGAATAGAAGGAATATAATAAATTGAAATCTTTTAAATAATAATATTTACTATTTTAATTAAACTGATAAATATGACAAATTGAAATATTAAAAAAAAGCCAACATAATAGTCTTTATTTTTAAATTTCAAAAATATTATGTTTATAATATTACAGAATAAAAGTATTTTTAAATGCATGTAGAAATTAAGATACAATTTCAAAAGATTAAAAATGCATCTGAAATATTTTTGAAACTTTAGATTCAAAACATAAAATGATGTAAGTTACTTTATTTGTGATCAGAAAAAATATAATTAAACGAAGAAATTCAAAAGAAGAAAAGAATTTACTCAGGAACCACATTTCAGGTTTGTGAAACAATGTAGCTTTTGACTGTGGTCATAAAAAGATAATTAAACGGTGAAATTCAAAAGAAGAAAAGAATTTACATATAAAAAAATTAATTTAACAGAAAAAAAATTATTTTAGGTTCAAAACATGAAAGAGTGTAATTTATTTTACTTGTGATCGTAAAAAATAATCAAATGATGAAATTCAAAAGAAGAAAATAATTTACATTTGAAGAAAAGAATTTAACTGAAAACAAAAACATTTTAGGTTCAAAACATAAGAGAATGTAAATTTACTTGTGATCGTAATAAGGTAATTAAACTATGAAATTCAAAAGAAGATAATAATTTACACGTAAAGAAAGGAATTCAACAGAAAAAAACATTTTAGGTTTAAAACATAAAAGAGTGTATTTTATTTTACTTGTGATCGTAAAAAGATAATTAAACGATGAAATTCAAAAGAAGAAAAGAATTTACATCTAAAGAAAATAATTTAACAGAAAAAACATTTTAGGTTCAAAACGTGAAAGACTGTAATTTATTTTACTTGTGATCGTAAAAAGATAATTAAACGATGAAATTCAAAAGAAGAAAATAATTTAAATTTAAGGAAAAGAATTTAACGAATTAGGAAAAACATATTAAGTTCAAAACATGAAATAGTGCAAGTTACTTTAATAGTGATCGCAGAAATAAATTTTTACAGAAAAAAGAGCATTTTAGGTTTAAAATATGAAAGAGTGTAATTTTACTTGTGATCGTAAAAAGGTAATTAAACGATGAAATTCAAAAGAAGATAACAATTTACACGTAAAGAAAAGCATTCAAAAGAAAAAAGCATTTCTGGTTTAAAACATAAAGACTGTAATTTATTTTACTTGTGATCGTAAAAAGATAATTAAATGATGAAATTCTAAGGAAGAAAATAATTTAAATTCAAAGAAAAGAATTTAACGAATTAGGAAAAACATATTAAGTTTAAAACATGAAATAGTGCAAGTTATTTTAATAGTGTTCTCAAAAATAAACTTTTACAGAAAAAAGAGCATTTTAGGTTTAAAATATGAAATAATGTAATTTAATTTACTTGTGATTATTACAATGCTATTACAATTATTACAATGTTATTACAATTATTATAATGTTATTACAATTGTTACAATAAAGAATTACCGGTCAAATTACGGTAAAAAGTTATTGACACCTTAAGTGCAGACTCCATAAAATCCATTTAAACTTAAAATCCCTTTTTACTGTGAAACTCCATACCGTAAATTTTACGGAAATATATATTTAATTACAGTGATTCAGTGAATTTGAATTAAATATTAGTGTAAAAATTACGATGTATCAGATTTTTTGTTTCGTAAAATTTTGCGGTAATGGCATCCGGAGTGCCGGCAATTTTTACTGTAATTTGATCCCGGAATTTTAACAGTGTATAAAATTAAAATAAATAAAGTAAATAAATAAATAGATAACTATATTTGTAAACTTTTTGAAAAGCGTGATCTTAAAATAAATTAATTTTAAAATAAAATCAGCTCAATTCTAAATATTTAATGCTTTTTAATAAAATCACTTATTATAAATTAATTTTAGTACCAAAATTTTGACAATTTTAATATCTTAATTATCATTTTTATTTGCTTCATAAAAAAGAGTTACTCGCAAAAATAAACTCTAGATGAATCAAATCAACAAATTTATCAAAAAATAAACATTAAATTTAAATAAAGCAATTCCAACTATTTTAATGAGAGGAATGTAGTTTTTCTATATTATCTTTCCGATGAGCTTTTCTCTCTTATTTTTTTTTTCTTTTTAAAGGCAGAGAAAAGAAAGAGATAAAGTCGCCAAACCTACTGACCCATTAAGCCGCTCCGCCTGAAGGTGCACTACCACGCGATTCCACTCCCTCTGAAAAAAAAACTCACGGTAGATCTCAGCGGCGAAAAATCTCGCTTGCATTTGGAGTTAGGTCACTCAGGTGGCAAGCTAGATCAGGAGTAGCGGGTGTGCGTGTGAGCTACTCACGCACACAAAATCCAAAACAACCTGACTTCTTTACTTCAGTTTCATCCAGTCTCCCCTCCGCCGTAATGCTCAACTATGGTGAGAGTCCGGCTCCCACTGCATCTGCGGTGGTCAGCCGGAGGAGAACCGTTGGTGACCAGAGGTTCACTTGTTCCCAACAATCTGTACTCATTGCTATAGATAGATTTGTCAAAGCTGTTAATAATATGGATGCCACTGTTTTGATACCATCCAGATTAAGGGATATGGAGCTGCAAAATCGGAGAAAAACCTCCCAACCTCCACCTGGCTTGCAAAACCACCAGGATCTTTATAGTTTCTACTCTATGCTGAAGGACGTTAAAAATGAGCTTCTGTGGGGTCCTTCATCCGTGAATGCGACCCTGTTCCCTGTCGGGGGATCCTTTAGTGGATTATCTAGTTCACGAAGATCTACCATGAGCATGATGATGACCGCTGGTATGACCACTGGAATGACCACACCACGGCAAGCGTCTGATGATGGATTGGGAAGTAGTTTGGGCTGCTCATCAGACCAAGATACAGATAGTGAATTTGAAAGTATAATGACTGACAGAGAGAGTATGATTATGGAACAGACTTCGCATTTAGCAACTGCGTTTCGGCATCATCTGCATGGACTTCATGCGATTTTGCATCAGCTTGCGGATTCTGCTGACTATTTGTCCAACAGGTATCAAGAAGAAATTGATTCGCCTCTTGCATAGCCCAAAGCGAAAAGAGCTTCTGACTGACGGCCATTCTCAAAATTATACTATGTGTGTGCAATTTGATCGATGGTTCCTTTTTTAAGGATGGTGCTTTGCTCAATAATGTGGATTGTTTACGTCTGGTTACTTACTGGATACTGAGTTACTTCCATTTATGCTGATTCCGTGCATAGTTAAAAGTAATACTGAGCTTTACTATGCCTATCTATACCTATTTACTTGATTTAAGTTCATATCAATTTAGTTTATTTTAAATTATAAAAAGACCAAAAGTTGGTCATTTGAAATTGAAAATTAATAACCACAAATGATTTTAAATAACAAATGAAAATTAACCATTCATATTTATTGGCCATTTGAAATTTATTTAATTATTTTTTAAGCTGCTATGTAAAGCTTTTGGAATTCTCCTAGACAAGATGGATTATGATAAATTTAATTTTCGATTAAAATATTTTTTTAATTTTTTTATTAGAATAAGATCTATTTTAGAATTTTATGGGTAAGCAGCAAAAAAAATAGAATAAATAACATATTTAGAGTATATTTAAAGAACAGAAGTTATCATTATAATTTCTCAGATACGAATTTCGGTTTGCAATTCGCGAAGCAAATGCTTTATTTATTCAATTAAAATTTATCTTACTGCAAGATTTTCTAGGAATATCTTGTGCTGAACCTTCCAGTTTAGTGTGCTTGAACCAGTATGTTTGATCCAATGTGAAAGAACTTTAATATAATTTTCATATTTGTGGAAAAAGATGCTAAGAGCATTTAAACTCTCTGTAAAACTAGTCTCAATTTCAAGCCAAACATATGTGTTGAGAATGGCCGAGAGAAATGAATGAAATATTATATCAGAGCAGTGTTCGTTGACTTGTTATGTTAGTTACGAAAACAAAATACTTTCGCTTTTTCGAATTACCTTTGGATTATATTTCCATGCCTTTAAGGAAGAAACAGGGGGCTTTTTTTTTGTCTTGAAAATGATACCAATGGGAATACTGCACTCTAAATTTTTTACAACTTATGTTGCCAAAATTGAGTTTTAAGTTTGTGGTATTTGGTCCGTGCTTTAACAATAGAAGAAGTTGGATAAGAATTTAGAACTATGAAAATTCTCAAAATAAATATGAAGACATACCTGTCGTAAGTATATATATTAGATATTTTTTTAAAGTTTTCATATTTATTATTACTAATCGTTATATTTTAATTATACTTTATGATGGTTCTTTTATCTAATTCAATATTTATATTTCCGCTCTTGAGATTTTTTAAATGCCATATCACGTACTTTTATGCCATTGAGATCAAGTATAATCATAAACTATTAAAAAAAATGGAGTTATAAATGAATTTAGAAGATTTTGAATGCTTGCGATGTTTTTAATTTTATTTCGGTTCATGATTTGTTTGCTTGTTTCTTAAATTATCTTTTTTTTCATAAAAATGAGAGGGATGTTTCAGTTTTATTACAAAAAAAATATATATATTCATTGAAAAATGCAATCTACATTAAATATTATATTGTTATCTATTTAGTTAATGAGTGTCAGTTTTTTAATTATTAAATGTTAAGAGCAGATTTAATTGGTTATTATTTAATTAAAATCATTAAATTTAAACACTATTGTTGATTTATGTTTTGGATAAAATTATGTTTTAGATTTCTTAATTTCCAAATTTTTTAAAAACTTTTTATAAAAATATTCAATCCCCAATGCAAAGATTATAGAAAATTATTATTTGCTACATATTTGATTTTAAAATAATTAATTAATCATGTCTTTTTAAGTATTTCCATACATAATGGGATAAAATGTTACTTCCAAAAATAAAAATTACTATTTTTAAAGTAGGGGATACTTTATATTTCTATTATGACAAATATTTAATTAGTGGTTTACATTAGCGAAAAACGAAGACTTAGGTAGCTAAAATATGAAAAATTCAATCGAAGTTTTGATATAAAGTGCGTGAAAAAATCATGTGTAATCAATGTGTGTTTTTCTAAATTAATTATGTCATGTTCACTTATAAAATTAAATCATTTGAATAAATTCATTCTTATAATTCAATTTAAGAATATAATGGCAGAGAAAATATTTTCTGTATCCTTCTTCACTTAAAAGATTAATTACAAAAAATAAAATGTTTCTTTTCCTTTCCTTCAAAGTGAGATTTTTTTATTAATTAATTCAATTTTTAATAATTTTAATATGTATTTAAAGCCTAGAGGATTTTTTCAAAACCTTAAACATATTCCATAATCGCAAAATTTAATTTCCAACTTTTTATTTTTATTTTTATAAACCTTATATCTTTATTAATCTTTTCCGTATAAATCTGAATAGACAGATATTTCATCATCTTTTCAGAGTAAAAAAAACCTTTTCTGAGATTTTTTTGGGATATTTTACTATGCATCATAAATGCTTTAAAAATAATAATTTTTTATAGTTTTTTCTATGAAACTTTAAAGCAAAATTATAATTTGTCTTCTATTTTCATATATAACGGCAACTGTACTTTTAAATTTTCTATTTATAAAACATTTGGCCTTTTTTTCATTGAATATTTAAAGAGTTTGCAGGCATTTTCATTTTTGTACTATCTTGTTCAATGAACTTTGCTCTTGGCCTCTTTTTACGCATGAAAATTATTTCTGACTTCATTTCGCCTTAAATAGAACACTCGCTCAGGTAGAATAATAACTGTATAATTATTTTAATTCATAATTCGTAAAATTATAAAGTATTTTATGCATTAAATTGATGTAATATTTTTTAAAAGTGCTTGTTAATAAATTTGTTTGTAGAAAAATCAGAAAATATAAACCATATTGGCATTATTTTTACAAAAAATGAAATTGTTGCTTAGTTTTGAATAAATAGTTATCCAAGGAAATATTATGTTTGAAATAGCTTAGAAAAATAATTGTATTTTGAACTATTATAATTTCATAAGTGTATTAATATCATATATGCACTGAATATATGTATGGTCAAAATTACCAGAATATGGAAAAATTTACCATGTTTCTGGCTCTATGGGAACACCAAAAATATCAGTGAATTTTACCGAAGCGATTTGACAATGATTTTGGTGAAATTAACAATAAAATATGGTTTTATAATACGTGATAAAACTGAGAAAATAATGCAAAATTTGATTAATTTTTCATGATGTCTTGGAACATGCCATAAAATGCGTGGTAAAAATATTTATAGTTCTGAAAACCAGAATTTCCAATCAACTGTTAAACATAAGAATGGAAAAATTTCGTAATGTAAGGTTTAAATATCATATATTTTGCTTTTATTAACCTGATTAATATTTTTTTACCGGTAATATCATTACGATGCTGAGCGGAAAAATTTCCCAATTTTTTTTTATCCATGCATTATTATTTTTCTTTTTAAGGAAAATTTAATAATTGATTATCTCATCAATTTTAAATCAAACGGTCTTAACAATTAAAAGCAATCTCAAACTTTTATATTAAAATAATATTCAAATATGACATATACATATGAATTTGTGGAAGCTGCTCTTTAGTGTTAAAATATACGTAAACTATATAGTTGCATTTTACATAAGAAATTTATATCTAGATGCATAATACTACATGAATAATACTATATGCATATCTTCAAACGTATGAATTGCACACATACTCTTCATTTTTAACTTTACATGCATAATTTGCTATTACAAATAAAATCGTAACCATTTCTTTGTAATTGGTTTTTAAACAAAACTTATAGTTTTAATTTCAGATAAAATCAGACGATTTCGGATAAGACTTGCTGTAAGCTGTTTTACACAAAAAAGGAGACACACAAAAGAAAGGCTTTACACAAATAAAGAAAGACTGACTAATAATAAAGAAGAATTTTTCACTTTAACTTAATTTTATCCGAAATTATATTTCAAATTCGGTACAAAATTATTTTATGGCAAATTTTATGAATTCTTAAAAATAAAACAAGTTTTAGCTTGTTTTAATTGAAAATTTGTAGGAAGAAATTGGGTAATGCTTTTTTATTTTATTATTTATGTCAATGTATACAAAAAATACTGAATCAATCAAAGCAAGTACCCGAAGTGTCTCCACAAATCATAAAAATTTTTTTCAGATTATTTTTAGATTCAAAAACCATACATAAAATTTATTTTGTCCATTTCGAAGCAGTTATCAGGTTATAGGTTATCAAAAATTTTACTTTCTTCCTTAAATACGTCGCCAAATTATGTCTATCCTGCTGACGAAAAAAGGCATAACGGTTGTACAGGGTTGCTTTAATTTGAGACTGTTCTGTCCTAAATCGAAAACTTCAATATTTACGTTTTAAGAGACTAAAACTAAAATATTAAAATTTAAAATTGTGCTTTAACTCTATTTTTTTTAATAATAAATTCCAAAGCCTTACATAACTATACACTTTACTAAATTCTGACGAAAATTTGTTTCAAATTTAATTGCGTTTTTAAGTAACTTAAAAATGCTTCTTCCAACGTTAGGTATTTATGAAATTCTTCTTTACCTAAACTAAAATTTTCAGCAATTTGAATTTCCTGAACCAAAAGTTGTTATATAACTCTACATTATTCTAGCGTTCTTTTTAAAAAAGCAATTTATTTGCAAAACTAGATTTCCGACGGAAAATCGCTTGAATTTTATTTGTGATTTTAGGTAACTTAAAAACGTTTCTTCAAACATTATTTTCATCGCATTTTTTTAAAAAAATTATGAAATTCTGTTTTTTCGAAATTTACCTTTTCCACAATTCAAATTTCCAGAATGAAAAGATAATATTTAAATCTATAATACACTATTACTTTAAGATATACTTTAAGATAACTTATTTACGAAACTAAAGCTATGACCAAAAAATCACTCGAATTTTATTTGCACTCCTTTAAGTAACTTACTAACATTTCTTCAAACTTTTTTGCTATTACATTTTTGACAAAATTTATTACATTTTTTTCTTCCCCAAGCTTATATGTTCAGCAATTGAAATTTTCTGAACTGAAACCATACAACGCTTCATTTTATCAATATTTTTTCAGAAAACAATTTATTAGTAAAACTGGAACTCTGACGAAAAATCTCTTAAAATTTATTTGCTTTCTTAAGTAACTTAAAAATATTTCTTCAAACTGTATTTGTTATCGCTTTTTTGACAAAATTTATGAAATTCTTTTTTTCCAAAACTTATATTTTCAGCAATTTAAATTTCCAGAACCAAAAGTTTTTATTAAACTCCATCCTATACTAATATATTTTTAAAATAACTTATCTGCAAAACTAGGTTTTTGACGAAAAATCGCTTAAAATTTACACGCGTTTTTGAGTAGTTTAAAAATGAAACTTTAATATATGTGTTATTGCGTTTCTGACAAAATTTATAAAATACTTTTTCGCCTAAACTTACATTTTCAACAAATCAAATTTCGGAAACTAAGAATTGTTTTACTACTCTTCACTATATTAACACTTTTTTAAGATAATAGTTTATTAGCAGAACTAGAACTCTGATGAAAAATCACTTAAAATTTATTTGCACTTTTCAATAACTCAAAAATTCTTCTTCAAATTGTATGTGTTATCACGCTTTTGATAAAGTTTATAAAATTCTTCTTTTTTCTCAAACTTACAATATTAGCTGTTCAAGTTCACAAAATCAAAATTTGTTGTATCATTCTGCATATTCCACATATATATCAAAAATGGTTCCTCATACTGTATGTGTTATAGTTTTTCTGATGAATTTTTGAAGTGAATTTTTTAGCCCAAACTTACAATTTCAACGATTTATGTCTCAACAACAAAAGGGAAATAGACAACATTTGAGCAAACTTTTTTTCACAACAGTAAATAAATAATTAAAACTGTTTTTTTTTAAAGAAATTGAGCTCGATTTGCGAATCCTTTCAGTTTGCTTCCTTGTAAGTAATTTATTTTGTAAAAGTTCAGAATTAATCAACATAACATTTTATCTTATCTTTTCTATTAATTCGTATCAAGCCAGAACAACATAATGTAGCTTAACTAGCGAGGCATAAAATTCATTGTTCCATGAGAACGGTTACAGTTATGTTAATGCACAAAAGGAATATTTCGAACATATGTAGGTGGA